TTTTAGAAGGCCAAACTGGACCAGTCAGAATAGTGGTTATAAAGCTATCTAGACTTTGTACAGAAATGTCTTGGCGCAAGTTAAAGGACGCTAATTTCTAATGTGTTCCTGAAGCAAAATAATACAGGCATTGATGCAAGACTTGTTAAAACAAAATTAAAAAGCAGACAAACCTTGTACCTCCTTTTGGTCTCGTGAGAGGGGAGGAGGTGACTCAGCCTCTCCAGCCCCTCCCCTAGACCATGAAGGTGGAAGGACCTCCTGCTACTTCTTGTTTCAACTTGTCAGTGTGGAGGACGGTAGTGAAGCCTGGCATTTGGCGTGCTGAAGGACGTGAGGGTTTCTCTTTGGGGTCATAACAGGATCAGTGACTTGGTTTTCAGTGTGTAACAAGAAGAGTACCAATTTATTTAAAACTATGAAATAATATTCTGTTTTGTGCCTCGGGCTTCTTATCTGAAGGGAAGGTGGAAACAAAGATCACTTTATTTTTCATGCTATTTCACATCTCCTAGATGAGCACGATGCCTGGACTCCCCACACGGCCCTGTTTCTATGATATTGATTTGGACCCTGAAACTGAACAGGTTAATGGGTTGTTCTAAAACAGGTGAGTTGTTACTGGTAAGAGTTTTGCTTTTTTCCTTTGAGGTATATTTATGAATTATGGGATTCCAGCAGAAGCTCTGAAAATGCAAATTCGAATGCTTTCAAAACTTTCTTTCCAAACATCATTGAGGGGAGAGTTGGCAGTAACCAATGCAAGAAATATTCCAATTTTGGAAGAAGAGCATGGCTTGTCACAGAGCAGCGTAGGGGAGAAAGCCGCCGTCTAGTGAACTCTGGAGGGACTGCCACGGAGGCTGGGCTAAGGGTCTGTGTACTTTGAGTAGATAGCAGGCAGGAGTTGAGTAAATGTCCCTGAAAATAGAAAAGAAAAGGAAGCAGGACCAGTCCGGGAATACTTGGGATCTTAAGGGAAACATCCCCAAGTACTCATCACAATGAACAAGCCTTCCCTAGACACATCCAGTTGAAATTTCAAAAACATTAAAAATGTAATTGTAAAAAGTCTTCTCCAGAAAAGAAAAAAATGGCTTGTCTATGAGAAAACGGGAATTAGAGTGAACACCTGTCTTCTTATCAGAGTAAGGGGCTTTTCGACAATGGAGGAACCCCCTCGAGCTGACTTTGCACCTGCACTTACACCCACCAGATCTATCCAAAGGCTTTCAGACATGTGCAGGTTTACCACCCCATCTCGCTTCCTTCCTAGGAAGGTATTTAGCAGTGTCCTCCGGCAAGATGGGGAATCAACCAAGAAAAAGGAAGACATGGTTTTCAGGAAACCGAATCCTGATCTGGGCAGTCACGAAGGAGAATCCTGACAGCTGCAAGGGACCTAGAGTTACAAGTCTAGGAGGGAGGAATTGAGAACCGCTAGAAAAGACAAGGGTATCAGAGGGCAATAATGCAAAACTGAAGCTCTCACATTGTTTACCAAAGTAAAGGTCCAGGTGGAAGCAAACTAGTCCTCTTCTGAGCAACCAGAGGATGGCTGCTTACAGAAGTAACTGCTTACAGAGAAGAGACGGTGTGCTTGCTGCCCGGGAACACCGTTCTTCCTTCAGGAGGGCTTCTGTGACGCTGGGAGTGTCCCTCTGGCTCAGGCCTGGCCTGGCCTCGGACAGTCTTCACGTTGCCAGGATGCAAGTGCCGCGTGTTGTTTTCAGGCCCTCGGGCCAGCCCGACAGAGGTGGTCGTGGAAAGGCTGGAAATGTCAGGGGCTTTGGCAGCACCAGAGGGGAGAGCTGCGGCGGGGCAAGGGAGAGGCGAGGTTTCAACTCTTCGAGGAACATTTACTTCTCGTTTCTTTTTCCTTCTAGATTGCCCCTCTTCAAGAATCTGCTCCAAATATTGGGCCCGTGTCCATTCAGGCTGACTGTTGGTTAGGAAGTGTGGGGAAGTCAAGAGAAGTCAGCCCCTGCCCTGAAGATCTTAGGCAATCAAGAGCAGGCGTTTCCCCAGTAGCCTTCCTTTGGCAAGTCTTAATTCCCACCATCATGTATAAATTAACATAAATCATGCGCAAGTCTGCTTACTTTACTGAAGTTCCACAGAATAAAGGAAATGGATTTTGCGAGCTGGATGTTTAAACATGAATTCTAGCATTCACAGACGGTGCTGCAGTATGTCTACCCTCCTGTGGGAGCCCATTTTGCCGGCAGAGCCCAGGGCCGGAGACGCAAGTTGCGAGATGTCCTTTATGACACTGTCGTGTTTAAAGGGGTAAATGGTGCATGCTTGCAGATTTCTGGGAGGACACATGAGCAGGAGACCTCCGGATAGGGTTGAGGGGGAAGTAGGGTATAGAGAATGTGCCTTTTTATCATACACCTTTCTATATTATTCCTTTTTTTTTTTTTTTTTTTTAACCTGAGAAAGGATTGCTCATACAGGTTTTTGCCCTGAACTTCCCTGGGATTTCCATTTCTGTCACATCTTTAGCACCATTCATTTTTAAGTTCTCAGGAAAGATGGTCATAAAGCACCGACTATAGGCGAACCCTATCTGCTATGTTGGTTCAGCAGATATTTATGGAGCTGTGCCTGGGCTCCGCTCCTCCCTCCGGAATGTTTTTTTTCCCCTGAAATGTTTTCCCTTTTCTCCTTGTTCTTTAGCTTCTGTCTCAGTTCCCCCTTGTCTTCCTGCACTGGATCCTTCCAGAAGATGTTGCGTCCCCACTGATGCCAGTGTAAACCCTGCTGGCATTGGCAGAGCAGTATTTTCGCTGGTGGCCTTGGTTTCATTATCTTTAAGTCCCTAGGTTCACATCAGTGTTGTAGCACAGTTCTGCCATCCAGAGAAGTGATGGCGGTGCTTTGGGGGCATATTGCCAAGGAGTCATGCGCGCAGAGCCCCAGCTTCACCATGCTTTGTATGGCGCCCGGCACATTGTACACAATGATGTCGGTTCCTGTTCCAAAGCATCATGCGGGTCCCGTCTGCTCAGAGTTCACTGTTTTTGATGATTTTTTTTAAATGTCCTGTAAGACCTCATCTGGAATGGGACTTGCTGGGAATTCATTCTGTAAATAAGGGAAGAAAGCAGTCTATTTTCAGACATAATGACTTAAAGATCATCTTAAAGGATTGAGGCTTCCTCATATCCCCAAAAGCCATGTGGGTTTACATCCTTAAGATTGATAGGAATATTGGGCACCTTGGTGGCTCAGTTGTTAAGCATCTGCCTTCGGCTCAGGTCATGATCCCGGGGTCCTTGGGATCAAGCCCCGCATCGGGCTCCCTGCTCAGCAGGAAGCCTGCTTCTCCCTCTCCCACTCCCCCTGCTTGTGTTCCTTCTCTCGCTGTCTCTGTCTCTATCAAAAAATAAATAAAATCTTTAAGAAAAAAAAAGATTGATAGGAATAGTGAACACAATTGGTGGGAGAGGGTGAGTGGAGTTTTATAAGCCAAAGATGATAAAGCCCTAATAAGGAATGCAAATTGTTTTTACCAGATATTGCTTGGAATGAATGGACTATCGCTAATGCAAGAATTTTCTTAAGTAGGAGTAAAATATGTCTTCAGTAAAAATTCAAATGGTGTAAGTTCCTTTTTTCCACCTGGCAGTATATCTTGACGATCTTACTACGTGAGCAGTTTGAGATTCACCTTGTTTGTTATCGCTGTGTAGTATTTAAATAGTCCTCTGTCGATGGACACTTACCATTGTTTCATGGGTTTTGCTATTACAAATGAGAGAGCACAGAATATTCTCTTATGTATCAATGCAATTTGTGTAGAAGCATCTGTTGGATAAATTGTTAGCAGTGGAATTGCTCAAAAGTGACCTTTAGCTTCAAAATGAGAGCTGGCCTTTGGCTAGAAACGTGTAGAGAGAAATTATAGAAGAACGAATTTGTAAATTAGGTTTATATCTCCATTTTTCAGAAAGGCAAACTTCAAAATTGCACTGCTGTTGCCTACCAGATGAACCTGTTAAAGTCCTCTGACTCTAAAGCCTTCTCTCTTTGCCAGCATTCAGTATATCAGAGCTGTTCCTAGAAGCCAGCCCCTGCCAGGCAACACAGAAGTGGACTTCCTGTTTGTGACAGGCAGAAAGCTGTGCCCGTTTCACTTCCCTCCAGAAGGAAGGGATGATAAAAGGTGGCAGAAGCAGAGGGAAGAAATAAAGAGGTTAAGAACGCTGCTGAGCAATTATTGATAGCATGGGTTTTGTGGAATTGATTCTTCAGTGTGTGATTAAGAAGTGTGATAAAGAGGGGAACCTGGCTGGCTGAGTTGGTGGAGCATGTGACTCTTGGTCTCAGGGTCAGGAGTTCGAGCCCCACGTTGGGGGTAGAGATTACTTAAAAAAATAAAACTGATAAAAAGAGACAGCATGAAGGATTAAAAAAAAAAATTGGCAGGCCAGTTGAAGACGTGAATTCAAGACCTACAGAAGCATTAGTGCTTGGGGTACATATTAGTATGTGTTGCCAGACAAGATCCAGTGCTTTACCTTGGGGCTAGGAGCCCTTCCAGATATTGTTCTTAATCCTTCTCTGGGCCACTAATGCTTCCCCATCCCATATTTGTTTTTTGTTTTTTGTTGTTTTTTTTTTTAAGATTTTATTTATTTGAGAGAGCATGAAAGGGGAGAGGGTCAGAGGGAGAAGCAGACTCCCTATTGAGCAGGGAGCCCGATGTGGGACTCGATCCCGGGACTCCAGGATCATGACCTGAGCTGAAGGCAGTCACCTAACCAACTGAGCCACCCAGGCGCCCTCCCATCCCATATTTGTAATGTTACTGATAAAACAGATTGGACCCAGGGCACCTGGGTGGCTCAGTCGGTTAAGCGACTGCCTTCAGCTCAGGTCATGATCCTGGAGTCCTGGGATCAAGTCCCGCATCGGGCTCCCTGCTCAATAGGGAGTCTGCTTCTCCCTCTGACCCTCCCCCCTCTCATGCTCTCTATCTCATTCTCTCTCTCAAATAAATAAATAAAATCTTAAAAAAAAAAAACACACAACAGATTGGACCCTCTATTCTGCGCTTCAGAGACTTGCCATGCACCAAAGATGTATGTATACTCCTAATTCAGAAGAGGCAGCATTTGTGTGCCGTCAGGCAAAGCAGATTACAACAGAACTACTGTTTGTGTTCACTGGTACGACCCTGATGGTGCCTAGAAACAGATGAGAATACCAGAAAACAAGCCACAGGTTCATTTAATGGTGCACCAGGGAAGGGGATGGAAGGCTTATTCCCAGAAGGTTTCTAAAATGTAAGAATTATTCCTAAGGAGTTATAAATCTTTTTTGGTAGCTATAGGCCCAGGCCATGGGTGGATGGGGACCAAGATGGAGAAATGCTATGATCAGTTGAGATTAGATAAATATGAGTTCAGACAAATATGCAAGCTATTCTACTGGCACACTGTGTCTGGTGATATTAACAAGATAAGCTGTAGGTAGAATAATTTCTCATCAGATTGGAGAAATATATTTATAGCCTGCTTCTCATTATATAATCAACAGCTACTAATGGAGTAGCAGACAGTGATATGGGTAATAGCTTACTGTCACTTTAGTGAGTTCAGGGATGACAGGTTTCTTTCATGCATGAAGTACTGGATACATTTCTTAAAACTCAGATGTGGCATCAGATTCTAGTCATCCTAAAGAAAAATCACAGTGCAGTATTTCATTTATAGTACTATATTCTTTGTGAGTGTGTGTGTGTGTGTGTGTGTGTATGGTGGAGGTTGGGGATGAGTTTTTTGAAATACACCTTTAAAAAAATCTTCCCTTCAAATACAAAATCAATTTACCTCTTACCGCCCTTCAGTTCCCTTTCATTAGTACCCCCCCCCCCTTTTTTTAAGAAAAGTGGAATAAGATCTACAAGTCATTTAGGGGGCCTTTATTGTTTTAACCTATCCCTTGTCTCACTTCCACCTCCTTCTAATAAGACAGCTGTTCTACCCTGTCTTCATCTGGATAAGCTCATCTTTTTTTTTTTAAAGATTTTATTTATTTATTTGACAGAGACACAGTGAGAGAGGGAACACAAGAAGGGGGAGTGAGAGAGGGAGAAGCAGGGTTCCCGCAGAGCACAGAGCCCGACCTGAAGCGGGGCTGGATCCTAGGCCCTGGGATCATGACCTGAGCAGAAGGCAGACACTTAATGACTGAGCCACCCAGGCACCCCAAGCTCATCTTATTTTTGCTTGAAATTGTTGCAAACACCTAGATCTAGTAGATTTGGGAAAAGTTGGGTCTCAGCGAGTAATAGCATCTCAATTAGTAATGAGTGGCATGGATTTCTTTTGGCTTGTTTAAAGTTCAAAAGTGTCAGTAAGCAGGGTTAGCAGCCCATCTGGGGATATAAATACATTTTCACAGACTGGTGTTTGCTGACTGCACAAAGATAGACTGAATTCTTAATTACAACTAAGGCAGATGCTTAGGAATTTTCCTGTTTTATAGCTCTTGTCTCTAATTTTACCTGTAAATTTAAGACCCTGACAACTTAGATTCAGCTTTGCTATTGTGTCCTAATGGTTCTTTCTTAAGTCTCAGTGAGAGCTACAGAATCTTACAAAGGTAAAATATATTCCTGGAAAAACATCCAAAAGCAGATAACTGAGATTGACTTCCCTAAAGATCATGATCCTATCAAAGAAAGGAGGTAAGTACAACTGCTTTTCAGTAATTCTTTACTCCACCTTAAGAGGGTCTTCATCTGGATGGTACACCTGGGAGGGCCCAGGAGGAGCCAGCCCTCGGAGGACCTCACAGCTGGAACTCCCAGCAATGCCTCTGTAGGTAATGTTAAAATCCGTAGCATGTCACCTAAGCTCTCACAGGAACACCTTTCATTGGTTAATGAAACCAGTGCGTTATGTGTACAAATAAAATAAACGCTTGCGGTGCTTTTCACTAAGGCTAGCAACTTGTTTAGATAAAGACCCAGAAAATGTATGAAAATATGCAACCTAGCCATCCAGTCAGGCTGGAGGGTAGATGTTGCCTGTGCCCTTTGCTCTGATTGGGACTGGAATTGTGAGGGAAGCCATCTCCCGTTCCCCAGCCCCGCTTAACTGAGAGGGACAAGATTAAGCAGCCATTGGAAATACATAAGGTGTAAAGGATGGGGCTGGGTTCCTGTGCCCTTCTGACCTCCTCCGCACGCATATCGGATCACCTCTACCTGCCGCCTAGACTAGGGAGACAAGGGTCTGCGGTCTTGGGCCTCTCGAGAGTATTTAGCAATGAACCATAACACCACCATTACACCCAAAGTCACTCCTAGGAAAGTTTTTTTTTTCTGTTTCAATTCATATATGTAATTTTCCCCCCCAAACAAGCTTTCACTCTGCAGTTTTTAACCCGACTTTTTAAATGTAATATCCGCCGTGTCTTTAAATACTCGGTGTGTGTGTGGGGGGGGGTGCTTAAATGGAAGTGCCCCTCATTTAAAACCAAACGTTGCTACTTTGCGTCTCAGAAAATGCGGGGCTCACTCCCCCGCCCCCACCCCATCTGCCGCCGCGGGGGCCAGGTGCGCTCCCACGCCGCGGGGCAGGCCGCTCGCAGGCGGAGCCCCCGCGCCCGCGCCCCCGCCGCCCGCCCCGCCCCCTGGCCCCGCCCCGCGCCCTGGCCCCGCCCTCCAGGCGCGCATTGCCGCCGCGGGCTGTCGCTCCCCGCGCTCTGGGGAGGGGGCGCCGCGAGCTGCGGTCCCACGGCAGAGGGCTGCTCGCTGCCTGGGCGCCCGGCCCCGCGAGCGGCCCCCCCGACCTCGGCAGCAGGGTCGCCGGGAACCCCGGCGCCGTCGGTAAGTGAAGGAGGGCGAGGGGGTGGCGGGGACCGGGGTCGGGGCCAGTGTCAGGTCCGCTGGCCGCCTGCGCGGCGGGGTGGGCGGAAGGTCCCCGCTGGACACCCGCAGTCCCGGCCGGGGTAAGAACGGGGAGGGGTCGTTGGTCCGCCGGAGCCTCCAGCCAGCGCGATCCTCGTCAGCTGTGCCCGCCCACCCTCAGCTCATCCTGGCCGCATGGGTTGCGGGTACCGCTCTTCCGTCCTTACCCTTATTTGAGGGAACTGTGATTTCGGGTTCCGGGCCACCATAATTGTGCCGATAGCCTGAAGCTGGGCTCTCTGTTCCCCGCCCCCGGCACTTCCCTTTTTGAGGACTTGGTCCTGCGCTCCGGCTCCGGCCGCGGGGCGCATCCAGTCGCAACGAGCCGCCTTCCTCCGGGCGGCGGGTCGGGGGTCCGCACCGGCCCTGAGAGAGAGTCACAGCTTTCCCCCCAAGGGCTTGCGCTTGGCCTCCGGCTTCTCTGCTCAAGGGGAAAAGTGGCGTTAGACTTGCGATTCTGTCAGGAAATGACAACGGGGACTTGAAGATTACCGCGGCGATAAAAGTACCCTGCAGGTTAAGGAGAATCGTTTGCACACTAACATTCTGCAAAGTCTGAACGTCTCCAGATTGCATTTTCCCCATTTCAGTTAGGCTTTTAGTTGGGTATTTGTTTGATTTCTACTGTAATATACATTCAAGTGAGCTTCACGGGCAGTTGTCTTTGGGCAATCCAGGTTAACTTCAAATCGTACCATCTTAAACATGATCAAATTTCAATACTTCTGTTGTACATCCTCTGGTTGGTAAAAACTCTCAGGTGCTGAGATCTCCAAGACGTGAGAGGACTTAAAGAGAGCTGTAGTCAGCTGTGGTTCTAGGGCTTATGGAAGCATTGCGTGAGGAGGGACACTGCACAATGTTTATATTTTAGTTCCATCGCTGTTCTAGGATGACTTTGTCTTTCTGTCAGAGACATAGAGTATGTAACTCCCAACCTAAGGGAATATTTACTTAGATCATAAACTGATTTCCTGAGTTCCAGTTCCTTTTGTGGTTCATAGACTCAAGAGCTACCCAAATAAACCATCAGTGCTGAAGGATTTACAGAAAAACAGTACAAGGAAAGAGTTCCCTTGCTTATTTTAGGACATCCATCAACAAAAATTAATACAGCTGTTGTCAGATCATCACCTCACATCTGTGTTCATTGGTGCTGCCATACTATTCTGTGGATTAATTTTATGTTTATATATAACTAATCAGTTTGCCAATTGCATAGCCTATCAATTATATTTGGCTTTCAAATTAGTTCCAGAACCAAGAAAACAAAATATAAAGAATTTCAAAAGCTTGGGGCGCCTGGGTGGCTCAGTCATTGGGTGTCTGCCTTTGGCTTGGGTCATGATCCCAGGGTCCTGGGATTGAGCCCCACATCGGGCTTCCTGCTCCGCGGGAAGCCTGCTTCTCCCTCTCCCACTCCCCCTGCTTGTGTTCCCTCTCTCACTGTGTCTCTCTCTGTCAAATAAATAAAATCTTTAGAAAAAATTTTTTAAAAAGCTTGATTTTAAAATAGCAAGAATTCAGTCTAGTCTTGGTTCAATTATGAATTGATGGGCTGACTTATGGTTAAATAAAACCATTAAAAGTTTTTTGACTAGTGAATCTAGCACAGATTAGTATCTCCAAACAATTCATCTTTCGGATAAAACTCTAATGCCCACCTTCCGAGCATGGGCTTCAGAAACAGGCAATCTGGTTGAATCTGATCTCTGTTACCTACTAGCTGTGTAATCTCGGGCAGATTGTTCAACTTCCTATGCCTCAGTTTCTTCCTCTGTAGATAGTGATACCACCACCTACTCATTTTGTAATGTGGGGAAGATTAGAGATGTATGTAAAAGGGCTTAGCGTATCCTAAAGCACAGAGTTGCTCAATAAATGTCAGCTATTATTATCATTCACTCTTACTGACCTTCGACTATGTGCTCATGATGGAAAACATTTGAACAGTAGATACTTAGGGGGAAAAATGTCAAAATTATATAACTAAATTTAAGAGGGGAGAATGACAGTGATGTTAAATTTCCCAAGAGTGTGTATGAAAAGTAGCACCTCTCCGATGGAACATACATTTTTAGAACAGAAACCTTATGGTATAATGGAAAGAACATTGGAGAGTCAGAGTCTTCAGTTCTAACTCTGGCTATGACCTTATCTAATGGTATGGCTTTCGGCACTCCAACTACCCACTCTGGAGCTCATTTTCTTCATCTGGCTGGACTTGAATGATCTCTAAAATCCTTTGCAGCTGCAGAATTCTTTATTGCATGTAATAAAAATCATCCTAGCTTTCTTATCACTTTGCCCTTCATTGTTTTGTTATTGTCATCTGTTAACTTGGATTTGAGTCATAAACATCCATAAAGATAGCACAACGAAAGAATTGATATCAGATCTGCAAATAATCCAAGTTGAAGTTTTAACAAAGAGAACAGAGCAGAATAGATTCACATTGTAATCTTTTGGTACTTTTTATTCTCCAGTCATTTCAGAAGATTATTAGATGGGAAACGTGCCTGGTAGAATCATATACATTCAACTGAAATATTTCTATAGGAAACGATAGGCTGATGGTGAAATAAAATACCACTCTTTTTTCTCTCATCAGGTTGATCCTTAAATAAAACAAAAATCTATCCAGTAAAGGGCTTTCATGAAGAAATTAAAGAGAGAAATTACAAGTAAGAGAGAAACCAAGAATTATACACCAGAGAAACCACCTAAAACAACTGTATGGAGTAAGACAAAAGGAGTGAATACATCTGGAAGAAATATTACTTAGTATATTTTTGCCCACCTTTTTGTCCTAAAGGCTGCTAAGGAAGAGAGAATATAGTTTTCTAGAGGAAGAACGAGTGTGATATAAAAATGGAAACCACGGTTTCCGAAATTCAAGTTGAAAGCAAGGATGAGAAGAGACCCACAGAAGTTAGTCCTCAAGATGAGAGGCAGGAGGAAAGAGCATCGATGCTTTGCTTCAAGAGAAGAAAGAAAGCAAGCAAAGCAATGAAGCCCAAAGCTAGCTCTGAAGCTGCTGGTACAGCAAGAAAGTGTCCCCCAGAAGCAGGAGCTTCTGAGCAGCCACGGCCCCCAGGGGGGGCCTGGGCCTCAATCAAACGTCTTGTAACACGCAGGAAAAGGTCAGAATCTTCAAAGCAGCAAAAGCCCTTTGAGGCCAAAGTGCAACCTGAAATCAGTGCTGAGGATGCTGATCTTTCTAAGAAAAAGGCAAAATCCGGACTTAAGATTCCCTGCATAAAATTCTCAAAAGGAGAGAAACGAAGTAATCATTCCAAAATTATAGAAGACTCAGACTGCAGCATCAGAGTCCAGGGAGAGGCTGAACATTTGGATACAAAAGCTCCAGCCCAATCAGATGACCAGGCAATAAAGACCAAGTTGCCCCAGGATATAAGTAAAGATGTCTCACGGAAAGTGGGTGATGAGGTCTGTGAACCAAATGTGAGCAACAACACAGCTACAGCTGGAGAAAAAGTGATTTCAGTAGAACTTGGGTTAGGTATGGGGCATTCTGCCATTCACCCAGGTACACTAATCCTTGAAAGAGATACTGAAATGACTGAGGAAAAACAAAGTGTCCAATCCCAGCAAGCAAGCCCACTTGAAACTTCAGAAACAGAACATCAGCCACCAGTGGTTTCTGATGTTCCTCCCTCACCTGCCATCCCAGATCAGCAAATTGTGGAAGAAGCCAGAAGCAATATCCTAGCAAGTGGACCAAATTGGGAAGAGCATGAAAGTAGAGAGATTGTAGCTGAAGAGAGTGAGCAGAAAGATACTGAATTGAGCCAGGAATCAGAGCTGAGAGAAAATGAGGTCACTGCAGAGAAACCCAAACCAGAAGAAAGCAAAAGAATGGAGCCAATTGCTATTATTATTACAGACACTGAAATCAGTGAATTTGATGTTAAGAAATCTAAAAATGTCCCTAAGCAATTCTTAATTTCAATTGAAAATGAGCAAGTAGGGGTTTTTGCTAATGATAGTGGTTTTGAGGGTAGAACTTCAGAACAATACGAAACACTCTTAATAGAAACAGCTTCTTCTCTTGTCAAGAATGCTATCCAATTGTCTATAGAACAGCTGGTTAATGAAATGGCCTCTGATGATAATAAAATGAACAATCTTCTACAGTGACTTAATTTCCAGATCATGGAAGGAAAAAAAAAAAAAGCTTCATGTTAAATTATTTTGCATAATTGTGGCATTTCTTATTCAGTTACAAATGAGAGGTTTATCATCCATGGAATTTATAGGTACAGTTCCAGCCCAGAAGTGCTAAAAATTTAGTTTATAAAACTCTCCTACCATTGAAATGCAGTCATTTCTGGATTTTGGAGGAAGGTAGTGCAGATCGCAATGCAAGTGACATACAGGGAATTGCTAAAATGACATGTGGAAGTTGGGGTGCTTGGGGGGAGGAAGCTGTATTTATTGAGCACTTATGGTATGCCAGAAACTCTTTAATATTCTCTGATGTCACAAAGCCTGGTTTCCTTTTGATAGTTCAATCCTGTGTATAGGTTAACATCACGTTCGATTTTCAAAAAAAATTTTTTACAGTGCACTTTTTTGTTTAAAATGGTGACTAAGGTGAGCTGTTTTTGTGAATGTGTGATTTACAGTTGTTACACTCATAGGCAGTAGTCTTACTTCAAAAAAAAAATATTGCCTTTTCCTAATTTCAGCAGAATGTGTATATTTGAATTAAACATGAATGTTTTTCTCGTCTTGCTTAAATATCGTACAAAAGCCATTCACAATTTATTTCAAATAGGCAAATAATTACCAAGTGCAAGGGTGTGGAAATAGGCAATGCATTTTCCCTGTCCATCTTTTTTCTGCCTCAAACAGACCTGTCTAAACCCATTTCTGCATGGGGGCATCTGCTGAAAAGTGAGAAACAAAACCCAAAAAACTAAACAACAGCAACAGCAAAAACAAGAAGAGTGAAATACTGTGTTGCATCCAGGAGAAGGCAAACTGCCCAAGTAACAAATAATCACAGAAAACGTAGGACTCATCTTGCAGGATTGTGCCTCTGGAGACCACTTTCCTCCACCTCCCCCCAAAGAGGGAATTCACAGCCAGCCTGGCAGTAAAAGTCCCAGGAAATCGTAATAACTTACTGAACATATTACTCACTTTTGATCAAGAATGAGCCAAGTTCATGGTTGAATAGAAAGTGAAAAGTTATTGCTAAAGCACATTGTATTTTAAATGTCTGTATTCTCATTGTGCCTGTGTCAAGAGGCACTAGTAACAAACACTTTACATGGATTTTGAAAATTAACTTTTTCATCAGTATGTTCAATCCAGCTAATCCCTTACCAAAAAAAAAAAAAAAAAAAGAACTCAATGTAACGAGAAGGGCTTATCTGCATTTTATCTGGTTATTTAAATCGTCAATCTCATCAATAATTGCCACATTTTTTGAAAAAGTAATTCCATTTCAATCTTTCCTTGTGTGAAATGGCCATAATACTGCAACACACATCCCTACCTCACAGGTAAAGGTCCAAATTGTATAGTCCCCACTGACTAAACTGAGGGACAGCGTTACTCTGACAGTAGATTAAGTATAAAGAGCTTTCCACTCGAGTTGCAAAGTATTTGTTAAAGAGGATTTGTACATTCTTGGAGAAAAGAGTGTACTTTAGATGAGTGTAAATGATCTGGTGACTTCTTGCATTATTTATGGCTTACGTATAGAAAGGATGTGCTAATTTGTCCTATAGAACCTTCTTTGTTTCTTGCTGTGAGTACATCTTGAGACCTCTGGCAGAAAAACCTAATCTGACATTGGAACTGAACCAAATAATGGATATTATTAGCAAGATTCTTTGCTGAAGTGCAAAATTATTCCCCCAGACTTTCTTACCTTCATGCCTGTAATCTTGAGAGGAGAAACCCACAAAAATCCTTCAATTTAGCAACACAAAAGTGGATTTTCAAAACATATGACCCAAGAAATGAATTTCTTTTAGTTGTACAATTTTTAAACATTAAAAAAAGACTGCTAAGTCATTCTCCCTAAAAATACTCTTTTTAATTCACTATATGTGGTGCTAATGGACTTGGATGGCTACCAGCCAATATCATATCATATTTAGAAGTAAACAATTTTTAAAAATCTGATCAAAGTTGGTGCATTTTACAGTGTTTTAAGGAATCCTGTCTTCATTTATTGCAAGAATAGCTCAAGCCAATATATACTTGCATTGCTAGGTTTTTTAGTAATCTCTAATGAATGAACACAAAGTATAACACCTACAAGTGATTGAAAATATTTTGGAAGGCTTAGGCATATTTGGGAGTTTTAAAAACAGTATGAGGTAAATATGTGTAACTAATTATTTTTGTTAAGAGAATAACACTTCTCTAGTCCTGGGTTTCTACTTTTTTTTTTTTCCCTACTATGGTTTGATATATATTTTTGGTTAGAATTATTATAATTGATTGTTTTTGTGATAAGATGTGTACTCTACCTGCATCCATTCTTAAGTGGTTCCTCCTTAATCTTTTCTATTGAGAATATCTGGTGAATTAAATAAATAGGGTTCCAGTCTGAAAAATGAATCCAGAAATTAATTGGTCTCAATCTGAGTATACCTGCCACATGGCCAAATCCTATTAAAATGAATTCTAAGATGATCCAAATTGTTTTGTTATAGAAATAAGCAGGGATCAGATAACTTGGAAGACTCTTATAAAATATGTTTCATTTCAATAGTATTTATTTTAAGCAATTGGACCTTATATGCAAGACATTAAATGTATATAAATAGGTCCCTATTCAGTTCATACCTACATTTGACGTGATTAAAATGATCATTTAGAAGACAATTTAATAATAGCACATTTTCATTTACATTTGCTGTGATAAATGCTGCTTTTAATGAACATTTTATTAATTAGCTGGGATTCAGTTTCCCTTTGAACTCAGAATTTTACAAGGTGGGTTGGTTTATTGGATACTTGTTAATTTTTTCAGCATATTATCTTCTCCCTTTTAAGAGTCAAGTATTATTCACTTTGCTTTACAACCCAGTGAATATGAAAACCCTCTTCTATTTTATGTAGCACTATTCACTTAACATTTTCTCAAAGTACTTTATAGGATATAAAAATAGTACTGGGTGACATTTAAGTAAAGATAGCAGAAAACAAAAGAACTTTCAAACAGAAATTATGTTCCCTGACACCACCTCCACCTGAAAGAATAATAAGCATGTGGCACAAATGGGATTCTTCAGAAAAGCTGTCTGCATAATTTTCTTTCAAGGTAATGCATTTGACAGCACGAGGTTTGTGACGATCTTAATTGGTCTACTATTTAGTGGAATCTAAGAAACTCTGATTTATTTCTGAGAGAGAATCTTATTTCACCAGTGTCTGTGAAAAGCCATACTGCTAAAGGTCAAGTTAGAGATGTGGGTCATGGGAGGGCACCAGCCAAATCTGGCTTCTGCATGCAATCCAGAGTTAACTTCATCAATGTGCTCTGCTGACTGGGGATTGGACAGACTTTACAGTGACAAGTTGCCTTATTTTTTATGGTTAAAGAGTTAATTTGCAGGGGGTGGGGGGGTAGAGCAGAATTTTTTAAATAATTGTTAGGCTTTAGAAAGATCCTTTTAATGTTAACTTTATTCAGATATGTGAAGTCTTCTAATTTCATCTGATACTCAGTACATCAGGGGTTGACTTTTCTGCCTGCCGTTTCTACGTTTTTTAAAAGTCCTTGTTTATGGTTTCAGGTTCTTTAGGTTCAAATTCCTGTGATGTTTTATTGTGTAACATAAAGTTTCTTATTATACAGAATTCAAAATTTCAGTCAATAGTACATTTTGTGGTACATTTTTGAAAAAAAAGTTCTTGTAATCCTTATTTAGTTACAAAAATTAAACAGAAGGAAGCTACATAAAATTTAGATGTCCTGATTAAATTCAGTTTGGTTCAACATGTGTTGGGTATAACATATGCCCAACGCTGTAAAGGAGACAGGCTCCCAGCCCTCCAAAAGCTCAAGCTAGGGAACAGCAACCAGAGGAACTGGGACAGGGATTAAGGCAAAGAGCCACAGGCAAGGAACATCATGAGTGCCATAGACAAGAGAATAAAGAGAACGTGGTTAATTTGTCCAGTGTGGGGAGGTGGTCATCTAAATACAGGGACAGTTTGAAAGCATTCCATTTCTAAATATTTAAACAGTTATATTCATTATGATTTGTGAACAGGTGCAGAAAAAAAGCCTGCATAATGTTACATATTTATAGTAGTTCTTTGTCTGTAAAAATGTTAAGTGGATGAGCTATTATGAAAGTAAAAATTCCATATTGTAATTTCTCGTTAAAATCAGTACTATAGGACTGTGGATCAGATGCTAATATTTAAGAAATACTCTGTAGAAAAAGGTTTCAACCTGAATTAATATATGTATGACTCTTAATATAGAATAAATGTTATAGTGGCTCATGTTTATTTTATTTACATCTCTTAAGAGAAAAGTAGTATATTATGTTTATTTCCTAAAAGTATAAAGATCACACTGATGGAACTGTTGAGTTAGCACTACCAAGAGTTGTGCTCTGCTGATTGGGAGGTGGACAGACTTTACAATGACAAGCCTAAAAGAGCCCACCTCCAGCAGAGAGAAACACAAACACCTTGAACGGGAACTCAATTTCAGTGAACTCTCTATCCATCTAAAGGGCATATCTGACTTTGATGCCATCTGTAAATTTGACAAAAGTGTACTTGTTTCATCATCTCTTGCTATATTCATTAGTTGCCTTTTCTACATTATATTAACCTATGAATTGTTAATAATCTTCATGGCTTTCCAAATAAGCAATCTTGGTATGAAATGCTTCAATTATTCAGATGTTGCCTGCTAAAGCTGGGTGTTTCAAAAGCTAGGTTTATGAAGACACTGATCTTATTCCCCTAACATTAACAACACTGTTTTTCCTAAAGCACAGAGCAATGGTAATAACTGGACTCTATGAAAGAATGTACTTTCCAAATCTCGGGACCAATTTCAAGTTGTTAGTGTCTGGGGCACTTGTCTGGCTCAGTCAGTAGAGCATGCGGCTTTTGATCTCAGGCTTGTGAGTTTGTGCCCCACGTTGGGCGTGGAGATGACTTAAAAAAGAAAATAAACCGGATAGTGTCCTAAGACTAAAATTTGTTCCAAAGCAAACTGTTTTACTAATGTACAAACCCTGTACATAAGCTCATTTAATATTTCACATCTTGCAGAGTTTTAAAATTCTTATTAAATCACATCTTTCTAATAGATAGCACTACCTTTTGCAAAACCTGTCCTCACAGACAATTCTGCTAATCCTTTAGACCCACCATTACTGCTGAGGTCTCGAGTCCCTGACCCGCTGGTGAGTGCCTACTTCGTTTTTTCTCCAAAAGCTTAAGAACACCAGGGGTTGAGTTTCTGAGCTTAGGAAAGAGTGAGCGCGGACAGTCCCCAACTTACAGTGTTCAACCAATGATTTTTGATTTTAGGATCGTGTGAAGCAATATGCACTCAGTAGAAACTGTACTTGGAATTTGGGGTTTTGAGCTTTCCCAGACTCCCACTGTGCGGCACGATACCGTGTCCTGTGCCGAAGCAGTGGCAGCCGCGACAGCTCACGCAACCACGGGTCACCAGGGCAAGAATCGACATACTTACACCTGCTCCGGACGCACACAACCCTCTGTTCTTCACTTTCAGTACGGCAGTCAATAAGTTACATGAAATGTTCAATACCTTAATATAAAATAGGCTTTGTGTTAGACGACTTTGCCCAGAATAGGCTAATGTAAGTGTTCTGAGCTATACTTAAAGTAGATAGGCTAAGCTATGATGTTCAGTGGATTAAGTGTCTTCAGTGCATTTTCAACTTACGATATTTTCAATATGCAATGGGTTTATTAGGACATGACCCCATCACAAATGGAGGGAGATTATGTGTGTTTGTACGTGGCAGGCAACACTACACATCCGCAGAAAATCCTCCGCGAAGCTGGACCCAGGTGCCATGAGCAATTAAGGGAAACCTAGGTAAGGGGAGGATGGTGTGCTGGCCCCAGTGTAGAAAAATCCCAAACTAAAAATGGTCTGTCGATTCCAACTCATCGTAGCAGTGTTCAGTTTCTCCACATTAGCAAGATAAGATGCACTTTTCCTATGACTTATTTTGTGGCTAAATTAAAATAGGACTTTCAGCCTTGATTTTTATTACAGTGCAATTATGGGGTAGAGATTCAGCCTTTCACAGCTATCCTGTGGCCATAAAACCCAGACCTTCCACTCCGGCACTCCTGGAGATGGGGAGCCCAGGGTGACACAAAAGCAGATGCAATGATTTGTATACTTGTCCTCGAAGCTTTTATTCCCAAATCCTTACTGTGACATGTATACCTTCGGAGCACAGGAAGGTCTAGTCAGTATGGCTACAAGTGGGGTCTCTGGACCACGTCTGTGATGAGTCACAACGAATGCAGCTGCCGGCATGCACACTCACATCAATCACACATGCTTGTACATAAATCACAGTGCAGAGGTTCCATGTAGAGCAGCTGTTTGTGACCTAAAAACTTGAATATTGCCTCTCTTTAAAGGCATCATCCAAAACCGGAGTACTTCCATCCTCCTGATTGGAACTAGTTAGAGGGGCGCCTGGGTGGCTCAGGGGGTTAAGCATCTGCCTTCGGCTCAGGCCATGATCCCAGGGTCCTGGGATGATCGAGCCCTGCGTGGGGCTCCCGGCTCAGCAGAAAGTCTGCTTCTCCCTCTGCCCCTGTTTGTGTTCTCTCTCTCAAATAAATCAAACCTTTAAAAAAAAGAACTAGTTAGAACTGTCCTTGTACTCTGGGTAAGGCTGAGATGTACAGAATGCCAAAACAATTGGTCACCATTCAAGTGAAAAAAGTCAAGCTAACTTGGGTGCCTGGGGGGCTCAGTTGGTTAAGCGACTGCCTTCAGCTCAGGTCATGATCCTGGAGTCCCGGGATCGAGTCCCACATCGGGCTCCCTGCTCAGCGGGGAGTCTGCTTCTCCCTCTGACCCTCCCCCTCTCATGCTCTCTCTGTGCCTCATTCTTTCTCTCTCAAATAAATAAATAAAATCTTAAAAAAAAAAAAAGTCAAGCTAACTTTCTGATCTTTTATCCAGGTGTGCCACAGACAACCTTATCATCAACTTCACTGATTTCAGAGTGAACTTACTTAGATTTATCTTTTTAGTTTTATGGGTTTCTCCTGTACCCTTAATGTCTGGCTGATGTGTTCTGACCTGTGGAGGTTTAATAGTGAATGATAATCATTATGGTTCATTAAACTCTAAGACTTTTTTATATCTAGGTGATCTTAACCTTTTTTAAAAATTAAGGTATAATTTATATACGGTAAAATCCACCCTTTCCTGTCCACAGTTCTACAGATTTTGACAAACACATATAGTTGTGTCACCTAGGGAGTTTTTTCTTATTCTGATTTCATTATTCTCTATACCATCCGTGTATTTTAATTTCTTAATTGCATCAGTGAAAACTGCTACTTGTGCAGAAATTTAAAATAAGGGCTTCTTAAATTCAACGTTTAAACCAGGAAGAAAAAACAAGGCTGCCACGCACAGCTGTGCAAACTGGACACCCCAACTGCCGAAGTCTTCATGCGGGGAGTGGCGCCCCCTAGTGTTGATTGTGCATAATCTGCATGGCCATCCGTGGCGGCTCTGAATATAGCCACCAGTTTGAGAGAGATGCAAAACTGTGGTGGTGTTAACAGTGAAACAGGAGATGTTTAAAATAAAAAAAGGAGGCTTCCACTTATATGCCTTTCCTCCCACACTTTAAAAGATTGTGATGGAAAGAGAAGACAGGAACCACTGAGCTTAGAGCACCAGACTTTGCACATATGTGAAAGAAGGGCAGTTGCAAAATGAGAACTGGTCTGGTAAAAACAAAAAACAAAAAGACTTGGAGACTCTGCTGAAATCTCTAGTCTGCATTTTTTAATGTTTATTTTTTAAAAAGATGTATTTATTTATTATTATTTTTTTTTTACTTTTTAAAGATTTTATTTATTTATTTGACAGAGATTGAACAAGCAGGTGGAGGGGCAGAGGGAGAAGGAGAAGCAGGCTCCATGCTGAGCCTCATGCAGGGCTCGATCCCAGGACCCTGGGATCATGACCTGAGCCGAAGGCAGATGCTTAACGACTGAGCCACCCAGGCGCCCCCAAAAAGATGTATTTATTTGAGAGAGAGAGACACACACACGCGTGCACACAGGGTGGGGGTGGGGCAAAGGGAGAGGGAGACAGAATCCCAAGGAGACTCCCCGCTAAACGGGGAGCCCAATGTGGAGCTTGAGCTCGATCTCAGGACCCTGAGATCATGACCTGAGCCAAACCCAAGAGTTGGACATTTAACCAACTGAGTCACCCAGGCGCCCCTCTGGTCTGCATTTTAAAACCTTTTCTCTCACCTTTGCAAATATTATATCCTTCTTCTAAAGAACCACTATAGGTTCTTTAGATATTCTTCCCTACAAGGCACTTAGAACAAATGCCAGTTGCCAAAATACCCTTTTTTTTTTTTTTAATATTTTATTTATTTGACAGAGAGACACAGTGAAGAGGGAACACAAGCAGGGGGAGTGGGAGAGGGAGAAGCAGGCTTCCCTCCGAGCAGGGAGCCCGATGTGGGGCTCGGTCCCAGGACCCCGGGATCATGACCTGAGCCAAAGCAGACGCTTAACGACTGAGCCACCCAGGCGCCCCCCAAAGCCCCTTTTCTAATTAGATATTTCCCTACATATGGTTTGAACTAAGTCCCATACGGCTCCCACTACAGAAAAATGTGGCAAAACTAAATTCACAAGACCTCATTCTGCCAGGGCCTATTTGGTCCACACAAATCTAACATGGACCATCCAGAAATTCAAACCAGACAAGGAGTAACAACTACAGCTGATGAGGGCCTCCTTCTCAGACTTCCTTCCCACACAAGTCTCTCTCCCAGTCCCCAGGAGAGCAAGGACCAATTCAGTTGTGCAGACAACTTTTCCCAGAGTACTACTATTCCTTCAGATTTCTGGCATGAAAGGACACCATAGTTTTCTAATAGTTTAGGGGAAGGTATTTTATTTCTGTTATTTTGATACAATATCACCAAGTTGTTTCAATGAAAAAAGTTACAACGTTGTATAAACAATGGATGATAATTTATGTGAGAGGAGATGGGCTTATTCTCCACATTGGCTACTCAGCTATAAAATGAATTTAAGAGAAGCATTTAGTGATTAGGTACAAAGTTCTAGGGTATTAATAATAATAATATTGCAAGCAGCGGGGCGCCTGGGTGGCTCAGTTGGTTAAGCGGCTGCCTTTGGCTCAGGTCATGATCCCAGGATCCTGAGATGGAGCCCCTGCTCAGCGGGGAGTCTGCTTCTCCCTCTCCCTCTGTGCCCCCGCCCCCACTGGTGGGCATGCTCTCTTTCTCTCGCTCTCTCTCTAACAAATAAAATTAAAAAAAAAAAGAGGGATGTCAAAACACAGAGGTACCCAACACACTATGGAATTCTAAGAAAAATCTTGTCATGACTAAATAAAACAAGATCCAGGAGTAGCTAAGTACTAAATAAATAGTGAATTAAACAGTGATGCCAAATTTGAGCATATGTAAAATAGATTTTTAAAAGATACATTGGTGCCACCTTTTGGCCAGATTAAAAATTTACATGAATTATAACCTACGATCACATTTTAATTTCACAAGAAGATCTTGTTAGAGACACAGTTGTTAAATTCAAACATTATGTGAATAGATTTAAAACTTCCTTGCCGCTTAATACAGCTGATTTTTAATCCTATTTTTTATTTTTTAAGAGCTGGGATAGAAGATAATACAAATAGAGTTTAATTCTGAACTAACCCATCTCATACTCTGTATGTACTCCTTTAGCCCTTGACAACCATCACAAAACTTATTTTAAGCTTTTGGACCAGGATTAGTCAACTTTAGCACTACCGATGTTTTGGGCTGGGTAATTCTTTCTTGTGGGCAGGGAAGGTGGGGGGGACGGTCTCCTGCACTGTGAGATGTTTAGCAGCATCCCTGACCTCTACCCGCTAGATGCCAGGAGCAACATTCCCCCCCACCCCCGCCAGTTGTGACAACTGAAAACATCTGTGTTACAAAATGTCCCTATGGTGAGAGGGATCACCCTGTGTACGGTTAAGTGTCACCTGGCCACGGGTGCTCAGATATTTGGATAAACATTCTGGGTGTGACTGTGAAGGTGTTTTTGGATGAGATAAACATTTGTTTGAATCAGTAGACTGAGTAAAGCAGATTGCCCTCCCTAAAGTGAGTGGCCCTCATCCAATCAGTGGAAGGCCTGAATAGAACAAAAAGGCTGACCCTCTGAGAGCAAAGGGAACTTTTCGTGCCCTTTTGAGTCTTGAGCCTACTGGCTTTTGGACTGGAATTACACCATCAGCTCTCTTGGGTCTCCAGCTTGCCAGCTGTAGATCTTGGGACATCTCAGCCTCCATGTTTGTGTGAGCCAATTCCCTATAATCAATCAACCTCTCTGTGCACATACACACTGTTGGTGGCTTCTCTGGAGAACACTGACTAACATATGCTGGTTGAGAACCACTGTTGTTGATTACATTACAAGAGAAAATACAGTAAATAGGGAAGAAGAAAGCAAAGCAGGGAACTACTTGGCAGTGGCTAGATGTTACCTTTCTTTCCAGAGATGGCAGTTGGAAGACACCTGAGTAGGAAGCCAATTTTCTATTCACACAGATTACGGTTGATAAGAACGGGGCTCAGTGATGCATTTTTGCCTCACACGTCCAAGATGTTGCCTGGCACAGAGAAGTACTGACCCCGGTGCTAGGAGGACAACATCGGGCAGACCCTGCTGTAAAATGAGAACACAGTCTATAAGCTGGACTAAAAAAAGGTTTTGTTTATAATCAAGTCACATTAATTTATTTGCCATGATAAAATACATGAAATGCACTGTTTTCATTCCAAACAGAGGATACCAAACTTTCTAAAATAATGTTTCTGAAGCAAACTCAAAGTCCATAAGGTGGAAGAGCTCAGCCATACAGTGCACTGCTCACCAGTCTCCGGATTCGCCATGTGTTACTTGTACGTGGAAGATTTCTTCACTGGGCCTTTTTTATTGCACACATTTTTGAAATCCAAGTTTCTCTGAAACGAGTTTAAGTTGATATCTGATCTAGTCTGACTAAATGACTTTATTTGGCACAAAACAGAAGAGTTGATGGCAGTTCATGTCCAATGCGTTGGAGCAGAATCTACTAAGTAATCGAATGTAGCACAGATGCACACTGACGCACAACAGATTCTTCCAGGTCTTGAAGACAGAAATCAGTCTGTGATTCCTTGTATTTAAGACATCCAGACTTGGGACTGTATAATCCTACCAGTTTTCAAAGAGTCCAACCATACAAACATGGCAATACAGCAGAGAACAATCAGTTCTAGATTTCACTCGTAGAAATTTAAAAATTATAATAAAATACCACAGAGCTACATTTAGTTTAAAACATACAGACACAAATTACATTATAGAAACTCTTCATGTGGCTTATTTTACCTCAAAAACTACTAAAAAAATTACACTTATCAAGGATCTGGGTTACAAAGTAAGAATTTGCCTGTGCAGATAAACATTAATGGAATTGTACCATCTTCCAGACTCTCTTTTTCCATGATTAATATGTATTTCCTTCCGTTTAAAGTGAGACTTTTCCCGGGGTGCCTGGGTGGCTCAGTCGTTGAGTGTTTGCCTTCGGCTCAGGTCATGGTCCCAGGGTTCTGGGATCGAGCCCCGCATCGGGCTCCCTGCTCAGCGGGAAGCCTGCTTCTCCCTCTCCCACTCCCCCTGCTTGTGTTCCCTCCCTCGCTCTGTCTCTGTCAAATAAATAAAATCTTTTAAAAAAATAAATAAAGTGAGGCCTTTCCATTATGAATTCCTTCCAATAATGAATCACTATGCTATTAACCCCACTCTATTTCTTGTCCCTATTTACTTTTTAGATGATCTACATCAAAGAAATGAAAACGATATTTTCTCCATTGCTTTTGTTCCTTTTCCCATATGTAAACAATATGTTTGGGGGAACTTTCCAGGAGGCTGAAACTGGCAAGGTTTTATTCCCTGTAATACCAAAGAACTAATATCCTTCTTCCTAAAGGCTAAAGAGAAGTACGGGTGGTTAAACTACAGTAGAAAAGGAATTCCAGCAACATTACTGTCTAAACAATATGTTTAGAATATTTCTAAAAAATAAGAATTGTGTCAATTAATTACTGAGTATTAAATAATATATGACTGCTTCTAAGACATTCTAGAGTTTACAGGTTGGAATCCTGAAGTTAATAGGTTTAGCTATAGAACACATATAGTTTTCTTTATATGGTTGGTTTTTATTGAGAATACTAAGAGAGGGGCACCTGGGTGGCTCAGTCGTTAAGCGTCTGCCTTCGGCTCAGGTCATGATCCCAGAGTCCTGGGATCGAGCCCCACATCGGGCTCTCTGCTCGGCAGGAGGCCTGCTTCTCCCCCTCCCACTCCCCCTGCTTATGTTCCCTCTCTCGCTGTGTCTCTTTTTGTCAAATAGATAAATAATAAAATCTTAAAAAAAAAATACTAAAGAGAACTTAACACAATTTTTTTGTTGTTAGAGAAGGGGGTAGAGGGGCAGGGGGAGAGGGAGAGAGAATCTTAAGCAGGCTCCACTCCCAGCATGGAGCCCAACGTGGGGCTCGATCTCAGGACCTTGATATCATAACCTGAGCTGAAATCAAGAGACGCCCACCTAACCGAGCCACCCAGGTGCCCCAAACTTAACAAAATTTTAATACAAATCCTCACAACACCCCTCTGAGGTAGGTATTACTAATATCCACTTTACAAATGGGAAATCAGAAAAGCAGAGCATGAAATAATAATCTCAAGATACATAAATCAAGAAATTTTGGTTTTCGGGGCGCCTGGGTGGCTCAGATGGTTAAGCGTCTGCCTTTGGCTCAGGTCATGATCTCAGGGTCCTGGAATGGAGCCCCACATCCGGCTCCCTGCTCAGCAGGAAGCCTGCTTCTCCCTCTCCCTCTACTGCTCCCCCTGCTTGTACTCTCTCGCTCTGTCGAATAAATAAATAAAATCTTTAAGAAAAAAAAAATAGCTTTATTAAAGAAATTTTGGTTTTCTTATAAGGCAGACTTCACTTTATGAGTTCCAGAGTTGTGACAATATGCTAATGGTGACAAATACTGAAACAAGTCTGTTTTTCTCCAGAAAAGAACTATATGTAGGATCTGGAAAGAAGGGAAAATTCTAAGCTGATCCAAGAAGAAAATGTCTGTTTAGTATTTGCCTAATACATTGATTAAGGTGCATATAGCATTTCCCGTTTGAAGAGCTTGGTAACCATTATGCAAACTGTATTATATGGTTAAGATTTTGGCTCCATTTTGCAGATGACATGGTCAAAACTAAAGGGTTTAGCTGGAAGAAACTTTTTTTATCCAAAACAGATTTTCTTAGTAAGGAATCATGTCTTAAAAAAATACACTCAGGGCACAGCATTCATTAATCATATAACAGTTATTTTATTTTATTTTATTTTTAAGATTTTATTTATTTGTTTGACAGAGAGAGATAGCAAGAGCAGGAACAAAAGAGGGGCCGTGGGAGAGGGAGAGGCAGGCTCTCCGCGGAGCAGGGAGCCCGATGCGGGGCTTGATCCCAGGACTCTGGGATCATGACCTGAGCCAAAGGCAGATGCTTAACGACTGAGCCACCCAGGCACCAGGCCTGTTATTTTAAAAATATGTCTGTCGAATGAATGAAAAAAATTAAAGTGGGGTCAGTCCCCACACCACTATTCACTGGCTCTCTAGAACCCACCTCTTGGGACTTTTTTTTCTATAAAATGGAGTTAATATTTTTCCACTTCCTAAAACAGAGAATACTATGAAGACTAAGGAAAGGGGTGCCTGGGTGGCTCAGTCGGTTAAGTGTCTGCCTTGGGCTCAGGTCATGATCCCAGGGTGCTGGGATTGAACTCCACATCGGGCTCCCTGCTCAGCGTGGAGTCTGCTAGTCCCTCACCCACTGACCCTCCCTCCACTCGTGTTCCCTCTCTCTCTCAAAGATATAAAATCTTAAAAAAAAAAAAAGACTAAAGAAAGAAAATTTGCTTTGAACTTCTAATATCAAAAGGAACTATATGAATGATAATAAAAATACAGTTAACCATTACATTCTTAACACCCAACAAATGGAGGTATATTTCAGCTTTAAATTAATGTTGTCTGCCATGGCTAATCAGCCACAGCAAACTCTTAACAATTTCTTCAGACTCTGCCCTGAAGTGCTGCACTACCCCTCAACTCATATGCACCCTCAATCCACCCTTTAGCTACACATTTCCCGTGTCAAGGACTAACGACTGGGGAGGAAGGAAAGAACAGAGAAGAAAGAAATCAGAAAAAATTGTTATCCTAATGAGAAAAATAAAATTTTACTTGAAGAAGGCTAGGGAATATATCCTGAATAGCCTAAAATACGAAATCAATGTTAATATTTGTGTTCATCCTATGAGATGAAATCTTTGAGGGTAGTGTAAATTTGAAAAATTGCTTAAATGACTTAAGACTAGATGAAGTTCTGACCCCAAAGAGCAACACATTTGTTTTTAACCACTCCCAATATAATTGATCCTATATCAATAGCTAGATTTCTTTCTCAACACATTTCAATCTTGACCCCAGGAAGCTTTAGTCATTTGTCTGAGACGGAAACTCAACGGCCTTAGACAATGCCCAGTGGTTTCTTCATTCAGCCTTCAAGAAAAACTTATCATTTCATAATTCACCTAACCTCACTGTTTACCCACAGAAAACCTTTTGTGCCCTCAGAATGAGCTAGAGGCTCCCTTCTGACTGAACCCTGACACTGTCAGGAGGTGTCCTCAGAAGGACGCCGTCATAAAGGAGCTCAGAGTTTCTGTATACACGTAATTTCTAAGCCTCACAAACCAGATCTACTAACATGTCTGTGAGGCTCTGAACCGGGCAGCATACAAAAAAGATGGTGCTGTTTCAAAGCCTCTCTCTTTTGTTATTCTGGACTATCTAATCTTTGAAATGTAAACATTTCAGAAACAATTTAGGTCCATCCTTTGTGATGAAGTTTCACCAGCTCTCCCCCAGCTACAGAAAGAAGGAGAATCTATCGTTTAGTTCATCAGTTTTAATTTTTCTGATGTTATAGCTTTGTAAGTTTCACTGCTATAAAACGGAGCTAAGTTTATTCACAAAGGGAGAGTTATCATGGATTTTAGACATACTTCAAGGACATTGACTGTATCTACTCTGCTAGTTATGGATCAGAAAAAAATGAAAACTGTGTCACTGAAGAATTACTTTTTCAAGTGACACTTAGAAAATCAACATCAGCTTGGGCAGCCTAGAAAATCCTCTGACACTGAGAGTAGAAAGATAATTTATATTTTATCATTTTCTTTAAAAACTGATGTAAACCTCTGGTCATAAAAAAATCTCAAACTGTTCTTATGGTCTTTAAGAAAATGCTCTAGGTGAAGGTAACAACACTGGGTGTTGGTCAGTGTAGATCTATCTGAATCTGTCTCTATGTTTGTCTGTATATATGAATCTTCCTATTTCTCTCCGTAGGATTTTAATGTCTGAATCTTCTCCCTTTCTCTCTTTTCACTAGAATATTTTTTATTAAAAATGAGGTATGCTCAATATCAAAAAATAAAAGCCAGGTAAGATGTTGCAGAGCTAATAAGTAAAAAGTGATTTTAAGGTGCGCCTGGGTGGCTCAGTCGTTAGACGTCTGCCTTCGGCTCGGGTCATGATCCCGGGGTCCTGGGATGGAGCCCCACATCGGGCTCCCTGCTCAGTGGGAAGCCTGCTTCTCCCTCTCCCACTCCCCCTGCTTGTGTTCCCTCTCTTGTTATCTCTCTCTCTGTCAAAAAAAAAAAAAAAATCTAAAAAAAAAGTGATTTTAAAACTACTTATGATTATAGCTACGCCTTAAAGCAAAATTTGTATAGATTATAACATATAGTTATGCATTAGAATAACTTTAACTTCCTATATGGCAGAAAATATTTTTAAATAGTCTTCATAGTGGCGTATTCATGTGAAAAATTAGCCAAAAGTGATAGTCTACAATGTTCTTTAAAAAATATTTCATTTACTTCATTTTCAATTTGGTTTTACTGATTCACTACAACTTAGAAATTCTATAAATATTTAAAGTTCCATGGTTCCTACATTGATTTCTGATTTCTAAATTGTGATTTACGAATGTTCATAGCTCTACTTGAAGGCTACATTTTAATAGCCATATGTATATCTTACAATAAGAAGACCTCATATATACAACCTTAAAACTGTGAATCAATGGTAAAGAAAAAAAGTTAATAGAAGTGGAGGAGGAAAATAATTCATGAATAAAAATGCATGTGAATTTTCTTTTTCCAAATGGGTATAAACATCATGAAGGAGAAACTGCTACTCCACAAGGATAGTGTCTGCATTTTCTTGCGTGAGCTCTGACTCTAAGGCACAAGGTGAATCTAACTGCTCTTGTGACGAGCGAGAACTTTTCAGGGGGACATCAGACCAACTGTCACAATATGGCTGAAATCTCTGGGCTAACGCATTGCCAAACCTTTGGCATCGGTTATATCTGTAAGATTTACCTTTGTGTGTATACATGTGTTCTAGCAACTGGCTTTTTCGGAGAAATTTATGACCACAGATGGAACAGCTGATTTTTCTTTTCCTTGAGAAAGAAAAATTACAGTTTAATTCTACTGGCTCTGTGTCTTTGGAGATCAAAGCCACTTGACTGATCTGCAGAGGCTCTGTGGCACCCTGGTTTGAGTGGTCACGCTGCTGCTCATTCTCCGTGACAATGAAGGAGCTGAGCCTGCGGCATTCAAGGGCCTCACTGTTTTCATTAAGTGGATGCACTTCACCAAGGTCATTGCTTTCCAGAATGGAAGCAGGGACACCAAATGGGAGGGATCCAGACACATGGGTATGGAGATGTTGCCGTAGGTTACTACGGGAATCAAAACGTTCCCCACAGTAATGGCACAAGTGTGTTTTGATGCTGCTTTCGGTGAAAGTGGGGCCTGTCACCTCAGATGAGGGTGAGGGGTGGCTCTGGGAGAGCGCAGACTCTGGGTCATATGTCTCCTGCTTGATGGACACTGGGGGCTCCTGGCGCCCCTCCAAGGCCTGGGCGGCAGGACGGGCCCTCTGCTGTTCTGCAGTGCCGTCATCCAGCCCGATAGCCAGAGAGAGCTGCAACTGGCGGTGGTCACCCTGGACAGCAGCTCTGTTGCCACTGTTACTGGAAGGAGCGTCCTTGACCTCCAGCCCGGGCTTGACAGCTGTCTTTTGGGTCGTTGAGATCTGAATGCCATACAAATTTGAGGACTGCACAGTCTCTGGTGAGAACGCTTGATTCATTTCAGTCGCAATGTGAGAAAGGTAGTCGGCGTGAAGAAATCGAATCCCTTCCTCCAAACGACTGTGATCCACAATCTGTTTTGGCCCTTTCCCCGTGTACATAATGTGCAACAAATAGCTGAATATGTCAGGCTGGATGTCAGTTGGTTGTATTTTTATGCATTCACTGTTAAAAACAAACAAACAAAAAAAACAGACCCACACAAGATAAAATGACCAGTTGGCCTTTTGGTTAGCACTATACAGTCTTAGGCTAATGCAATTTCTTCCTAAGAAGTTCAGACTCAGCGATCTGCCTTGATGAACTACATCAACAGAAAATTAAACATTCACAGTACACCAGCTTTATGGCCCAGCAACAAGTCTTCACGTATTCAACCTACTGCCGAAAGCTGGGAAACACACACAGATATTCTGATTAGTTGAACAATTAGTGACTCCTAAGTGGTAGGCACTATACTAGGTGCCAGGGAGGAAAAACATAATGAATGAAACAGATACCTCCCGCTTAAGGAACTTAACAGTCTTTTGAATACATAACCAAAAGAACTGAAAACACGGACCCAAAAGACGCCTGTACGCCAGTGTTCATCACAGCATTACTCACATTAGCCCAAAGGTGGAAACAACCCAAGTGTCCATCAACAGATGAATGGATAAGCGAAGTGTGGCATATACATACAGTGGCATATTATTCAGCCAAAGAAAGGAATGAAGTTCTGAATGATGTTACAACATGGGTGAACCTGGAAAACGTTTGGTAAGTGAAATAAGCCAGACTCAAAAGGACAAATTTTGTATGGTGCCACTTATAATAGGCAAATTCATGGAGGCAGAAAGTAGATTAGAGTTTACCAGGAGCTTGGGGTCAGGTGGGGGAGATGGGGAGTTATTGCTTAATGGGTACAGAGTTGATGTTTAGGGTGACGCAAAATTTTGGAAATGGTAAGTGGTGATGGTTGCACAACACTGTGAATGTACCTAACGCCAGTGAATTGTATGATTAAAATGGTCAAAATGGCAAATTTTATGTTGTATACATTTTACCAAAATAAAAAATATTTAAAATTTTAAAAGGATCTATTAAAATTGGTAATATTTAGAATTTAAATTATACTAATCTTATTTTGGCTTCCAAACTATAGTAATATATCTACTCTTCAAATCACAAATGAATATAGGTATAACTTTGAAAAACTTTAAAAATAACCGCAAGCTCAATTTTTAAATATGAATCTACAATTCAGATAATAGAAATAACAGCATAACAAGAAATCAGCAAACGCCCTGCAAAATTAGGATAAAGAGAACGTGAGGGAAGTGTTGGATGTCAGGGAACAATGGCTCCAGTCAATGGACTTACCTTCCCTGAAGCAAACGTTCCTGTCTGCTTCAGAATGCACAGGGTATCAGATGCTGGCAATCCATTTCTTTAATTCCCTTATCTCAGGATTCCCTCTTGGGTTTCAATCTTAGCTCTCACCCACCCACTTCCAGGGTCTGTGGCAGGGGTTTTTTATATCAGCACAGAGCTGTTAACTGAGGATTTTTAGTTGCTCAACAGAGATACCACGTAGCAGGCCTGACACCTTTGTATCTCTTGGATTTAGTTTAGCATGGTGCCTGGCTCACAACAGGCGCTTTGGGAGCTGAACCAACTCATAGCTTTTAGACGAGACTGATGTGAAGGCACTGTTCCTAATCTAGTTTCTACATTGACACCACCCATTACATGTCCCCCACTCCAACCTCCTCCCCACTTTGTGTCATGCATTCCAACCATTCTGGTCTATTCTGTTTCCTGAATGTACTAGCCCGGTTCATATCTGCCTATGTTTTCATGCAATTTTCCCTCTGCCTGCAATGTGCTTTCTTGCATTCCTTTACAATATCCAAAAAACTCCTCCTGATCCTTCAAGATCCAGGGCTTCTGTAAAGCCTATTCCAACCTCCTCAAAATAGGGCTGCTGACACTCCACTCTACCTTGTACAACACTTCTGTTATAGACATATCACATTAGTTATTGATAACAGTAGCTGACAGGGTAAAGCTCTGTTCTAAGCATTTTAATATTATTAATCCATTTAATCTTCTCAACACCATGGGGTGAGTATACATACTATGCCAGTGTTTTACAGAGAAGGAAACTGAGGCACAGACAGATCAATTACACCGCAATTTTTTTCTTTACATGTGTTCTCTATTAAACTATGAACTAACTAACTCCTTGAGGATAGGGAGCATTACTAGCCTGTTACTGGGGTCTAATACAGTGCTTACATGTAAGTACCCAACAAATATTTAAATGAATGAACAGGTAAATGAAAATGTGTGATTGAGGCTAGACTACTAAGTATTTCATGTAAGGTCATTTAAAAAAAAACAAGAGAATTCTATCTCTTTCAACCTAGGGTGGATTAAAACTATTCTTTAAGAGCTCAGAATCTGAAAACGACTTTCCTGCCCACTCCCTACATACCCATCATGTTGGGATAATCCACATTCAAAAAATCAAAACACTTTTTGAAAAAAAGTATTTGAAACAAATGTCTTCTGAACTGTAATATGGAATATAAGGTGTGTAGAATTATGACATTATACTCTTGTTATGAAAGTGTTATAGAATAGATATCAACAATTCAGTGAGTCAGAACATAGATCGTTAAAAGCACAGATCTGCATTTGAGGATAACTTACTAGCTGTATAATCCTGGATGGGCCAGTTACTTGACTCAGTCTCAGTTTCCTTTTCTCTAAAATAGTATGGATAATAGTAGAATGTACATTAGGCAAATACTTATGGGCTAAGCCTTCAGTAACTTTTAGCTATTATTGTTTTCATTTTTACCTTCCACCATGGATCCTACACACTGAGATGAATTACTGGATGTGTGTAAAAAAAAAAAAAAAAAAAAAAAAAAAAAATATATATATATATATATATATATATATATATATACTTCTTAAGGTGACCCCATAACAAAGAATCCCCCAAATGATGTTATAATAAGGCTTAGCTATATCACAACATTAAAAACTCTTCTGATTTACAAAAGCACATCCTTACCTTGTTTGGTGAATAAATATCATCTTGAAATAGTTAGAAAAAGCAGCAAGCACTGCTCTGTGGGCTTTGAAGTAAACATCTCCAATGGCAACTGTGCAATCACACAGAAAACCAAATTCTCGCTGCATGTTCAGCTGCTGCAGAAGGACAAGGCTATGGCTAGCTGTGTCCATTGTGGCTCTGAGAAAAAGGACAATTTTTTTTTTTTTTTTTACAAAATTAGCTACAGTTCACACAAACCTACAGAGTACAAGGAGGCCTAAATTTAAACGAGATTACTTAATAGTTTTTAATACTGTTAATTTCACCCCAAACCTAGCTAACATTAAATCCACTCATTAAAACTGCAAAATATGGTCTTTTTTCATCTAAGAAGGTAGCTTGGTATGAGTAACACAGAAGCAAAAGGAAGGCTGTCTTTTTTTATCTATGTGACCGTGCTTCTAGTCATACTGACCCCTTCCTCAGAGCTACAGGAGTTAAGTTATGTGAAAAGCACCTTGTAATGGAAACTGCTATTCAAGTGTTAGCTAGAACTGTCCATATCACTGTCCTGGCTGGGCTAGAGCTGTCAGTGCTCCGTAGGGAGCCCTGTGAGCTCAGGGGACACTGGCCCTCTAACTATCATACGGTACGTTTGGGAAACATGATCAGTCACAGTATGTGCAGGAGCCCTTAAAATAGATACCAAGCCACATCCCATGATTTACATGGGGCCCAGGAACCCAATGGAAAGAGCCTAAACCCTGATATTAACTGGATTCAGACACATACAAGCATGGAGGCTCCTGAAGGAACAATACAGAATGGGACCACTGGTCTTGGAAAAACCATGCACGAGGAAAAACATGCATAAGAATTATGGCAGAGAAGTCTAGTGTGAGCAGCAAGGGATTCAAAAGTGCCAGAGTTCCAGGCAGATTGGAGGCTCTGCTTCATCCCGACTGTGTAGACAGACCCAGTGCCTTAAGAAGAAGGCAGCTGTCGTATAAAGGGCATCACTGGCCAGCTGGGAGAACCTTCTCTAAAAGAGCAGTTTCTGAAGAAGAGAATGAAGTTTCCTCACTAGCCAGAGACCAAAGTCTAAGGAAGTCAGTGATGAGAGTGTGGAGTTAGCTGTCCGGAGACTGGCCACAGCTTGGGCAGCAGACAGCTGAGTGATCAATAATATAATAAAACTAGCCAACATTTACAGTGCTTCCTGTGTGTCAGGCACTTTTCACTCATTTAGCTCTCAATATGACTATACAAGAAAGGGAATATTCAGTGCATGTACAGATGAAGAAACTGAATCAGTACAAAGAGTTAATTTACTCAAGTCACACTGCTAATAAGTGGCAGAGCAGGGGATGGCAAACCTGGTCACTGGGCTCCAGAACCCAAATGTCCTCCCTTTCCACCTCCCAGAGAGAACATGACCCACAAACTGGAGATGCCTAGGGAATGGTCAGGTTATACATCAAGATATCTCGGGAAGCCTCAAGAATGTTTGGAAAGGGAAACTAGGTAAAAACCCAGATTTCCTGCTGCTTAATTTGCTTACACAAATCTGATACAGAAACAAATACTTATTAATGGATAAAATCTAGGCAATAACTGGTAAACAAAAAAGGTAATTATTACTGATACAAAGTTAAATCTATTTTTATTAAAATTACATATTTAATGTACTGATATGAAATAATCTCTAAGATATATTAAGTGAAAAAAAGCAAAGCACGAAATTGTACAGAGAAGACTACTATTTATGCAAAAGGGGATGGAGTGGTTATTTTAAAGGTAGGGGAGAAATTTATACAGAAATATATTCTTGTTTATGTACACATCTCTGGAAAGATTCAAAGAAATGAGTGAAATCTTTGCTTCTGGGAGGGAAACAAAGGAGCAGGGTGGGGGAATTGTACTGTTTAAACTTAAATTCTTTTTTTTTTTTTTCTTGAGAGAGAGAACGGCCTTAAGCGAGCTGGGGGTGGGGAGCAGAGGGAGAGGGAGAGGATCTTAAGCAGACTCTGTGCTGAGCGTGGAGCCTGCTGTGGGGTTCCATCTCAGGACCCTGAGATCATAACCTGAGTTGAAATCGAGTCGGACACTTAACCAACTGAGCCACCCAGGCACCCTGAACTTAAATCTTTTTATTGAAGTTTAACATCATAAGTACATTCCAACATGTATTCCTTTTCCCCTCATTTTTAAAAATTATGAAGGGGGTGCCTGGGTGGCTCAGTCGTTGAGTGTCTGCCTTCGGCTCGGGTCATGATCCCAGGGCCCTGGGATCGAGCTCCGCATCGGGCTCCCTGCTCCTCCGGAAGGCTGCTTCTCCTTCTCCCACTCCCCCTGCTTGTGTTCCCTCTCTCGCTGTGCCTGTCAAATAAATAAATTAAATATTAAAAAAAATTATGAAGTATTTCAGATAGACAAATAGGTACAGAGATCAATGTGACAAACATGCGGCCAGCCAGCCACCCCTGAGCACATAAGGTAAACATTACAAATGTGGTAGAGACCCCCTACTATCTCTCCCTCATTCTAACTACCCATTACCTTGCCTCCAAAGGTAATCATCACCCAGACTTTGGTGTTTATGACTGTCTTGTAACATCATCATGTTCCTACTGCATCTGTATGTATCCCTTCAGAAGGTATGGTATTATTTTGCATGTTTTAAAATTTTATATAAATAATATTGTATTTTAAGAATCCTGCAACTTGCTTTTAATTCTATTCATACATTACTTTTAAAAATTATACTTACTCAAACATTAAGTTTCTCCCAAACCTCCCCCAATTAAAAAATAAATAAAAACAAAACTCTTACTCCTTACCATCTCATTTTAAAAGCCTTTAAGCAGTAATGAAATAAGAGGGAACAAAATAACAGAACCTACAGAGACCTGAATGTAAACCAAACTCCAAATTGTGAGTATTGTTCCAAAAGCCATTTAACTAAAAGTCACTATTTATTGTATTTGCCGCATTACCCGGATTCTAAAACACCACCGATTTATTAGAGAGAGATTTAAAAACCAAAATAAAACTGTATGCTGGAGATTTCACCATGTGAAAAACACGTGTCTTAGATTCAATGAAATGGTTCAAACTGAAGTAGTTTAAACTAGCTTGACACATTGTTAAAAAAAAAAAAAAAAAACCTCAGATCATAAACATTTTCACCAGATCTATCTACATACATATATATATACACACACAGACATATATATATAGTGCAGTAGTATAATGAACTACTGAACCACATGGAAATGAGAAAGGGCACACTAAAAAGCCACATATACAAAACTCTTGTGGTTAATGGTCTATGAGTAACAGTTAAATTCTTCGCTTACTGAACATTTTTTGAAGAGAAACTTAATAAAGAAAAAATTATTTGAAGGCATGCATTATACAAGGCCTAGGGACAGAAGAAAAATACTTACATGCTGCAACCAAGAAGACTGCAGGCTAACATGAACCCCAATGTTTATAGCAGCGATGTCCACAATTGCCAAAACATGGAAAGAGCCCAGATGTCCACCAACAGATAAATGGATAAGAAGATATGGTATATATACAATGGAATACTACTCAGCTATTGAAAGAATGGAATCTTGCCATTTGCAAGGATGTGGTTGGAGCTAGAGGGTATTATGCTAAGTGAAATAAGTCAGTCAGAGAAAGACAAATACCATATGATCTCACTCATATGTGGAATTTAAGAAACAAAACAGATGGACATAGGGGAAGGGAAGGAAAAATAAAATAAGAGGAAAATGGAGAGGGAGGCAAACCATAAGAAATTCTTAACTATGGGGAACAAACTGAGGGTTGCTGGAGGAGGGGATGGGGTAACAGTGTGATGGGCATTAAGGAGGGCACTTGAAGTAATGAGCACTGGGTGTTATATGCAACTGATGACACACTGAATTCTGCCTCTGAAACTAATAATATAGTACATGTTAATTAAATTGTATTTAAATTTAAAAATTTTTAAAAGAAGACTGCAGGCTAATAGGGGAGAGAAAACATAAAACATGGTAATTATGATATGAAGTAAAAGTGGCAAATGTCATAAGGAGCATTTCAGAGAACATGTTATGAAGGGGAGATCAATATCAGGCAACCCAATGAAAAATAAGCCATTTGAACTGGATTTAGATGAACAGGCATAAGGTAAACATAGCATTCCAGGCAGGAAAAAATAGAGTGAATAAAATTACAGGGAGGAGTGTGAATATATAGGTAACTGAAGAACTCAGTTTGGCATAGAAAAACCAAAAGTAAGTGGGTAATAAGAGATGTGGGCAGCTCACACAGGGTACCGAATGTAAAACTGAAAGGTACTCCACTTGTGTTTGAAATGAATGATGTTAAGATGTTTTTGCAGGAGGGAGAACAGCATAGTAGTTAAAGCTTGGACTCTGGAATTAGACAGCTTGGATTAAAATTCCAATTCTGTCATTTAGCTGTGTGATCTTGAGAAGATGCTTAACTCTCTGGTCCTTGGTTTTACTTGTAAAATATGGATAATTACAGTATCTACCTCACAGGTTGTTACATAGATTTAATAAGATAATGCACATAAGCACATAGAAATAGTGAGGCCAGGGCGCCTGGGTGGCTCAGTTGGTTGGGCGACTGCCTTCGGCTCGGGTCATGATCCTGGAGTCCCGGGATCGAGTCCCACATCAGGCTCCCTGCTCGGCGGGGAGTCTGCTTCTCCCTCTGACCCTCCTCCCTCTCATTCTGTCTCAAATTAAAAAAAAAAAGAAAAGAAAAAAAGAAATAGTGAGGCCACAGTAAGTGTTCAGTAAATACCAATTACCATCATCATGATCATCATGATCATCATGATCAGGCCTTTGAGTCAAGATTGCTCTAGTAGCAATACATAAAAAAGATTAGCAAGGGAAAGGTATGGAAAAATAAAGACCAGCAAGAAGTCCACTGCAATATCCAAGTAATGGCAGTGGGAATGAAGGAATACAAGAGATACACCAGACATAGAACTGACATGACTTGGCAGCCAGACTGGATGTGGTCAGCCACAGGGAAGATAAAGTCAAAGGCAAGTCTCAGAATTCCAGCTTGGATAACTGGAAGAATTCATTCATCCCTTCAGGTCATATTTGCAGAGTAACTGTCATGTGTTAGGTATCAATATAAAGGCAGGGTCCCAGAATGCCAGAGAAGAGGCATAGAAACTGGCTTCATAAAAGAGAAGTTTCATTTTGGACACAGTGAGTTCAAGGTGTTCACTCCAGGACATCTGAGTAGAAATGTTCAGTGATCAATGGAGACATTATGTAGGATTGGGACTCTATAGAGATCAGGGCTAGACAGGGAGAGGAGGTCCTCTGTAATTACACAGCTGAAGCCACCAGGAGTGGATGGGACTATTGAGTAAAATAGGAGGGGAAAAAAAGCTAAGAATGAATCCCCAAACAACACAAAAAAGACACAACAAGAAGAGGAGTAATAAGAAAACATATCAACATTGAGTGGGGGAAAAGGGGGGTGGGTGAAGGAAAGGCAAGAACCTGGGTGGGGAGTGCTCCACCAATGGTGGAAAGTACTGCAGAGAAACATGGGGATGAGGCCTATTACAAACACCCCAAGTGTGGTGACTAAGAGATTTCTAGCGACCTCTGACAATAGTCTGTGAAAGTAGCCAGAGCAAAATCTCTTCACTGCAAGGGAATGTTAGACAGCAAAGGCCATAAAGGGTAGGTACAGATAGGATAAGACATTGATGATGGGCACCTTCAGCTCAGAGAAGACTTTCAGGCTGAAGAGGGGTGGAATCTCCAGAAGCCAGAAGGAACACAAGCAAAAGTCTAAGTGTAGCAGTCAGCCATGGAGAAGAGAGGGATTTCTTTCTGACAGTGGCAAGGAGATGGCTGAGGTGAGGAGAGAATCTCAGAGTACTCTGTAGATGGCTTCCATTCACACACTATGAAGGCAGTCCATATGCAGAGGGAAGAGCTGAGTTTAGATCTTGAAGGAAACCTAGAGGGGCACCTGGGTGGCTCAGTCCGTTAAGCGTCTGCCTTCGGCTAGGGTCATGATCCCAGGGTCCTGGGATGGAGCCCCGCATCGGGCTCCCTGCTCGGCAGGAAGCCTGCTTCTCCCTCTCCCACTCCCCCTGCTTGTGTTCCCTCTCTCGCTGTCTCTGTCAAATATATAAATAAAATCTTAAAAAAAAAAAAAAAAGAAAGAAACCTAGAGTAACAATCCCTGATGCTAATATATAGTGATGAAGTTTATATAGAACTTTCACATAAAATAATTTTTCTGTTTCAGGGGTGCCTGAGTGGCTCAGTCAGTTGAGGGTCTGGCTCTTGGTTTCCGCTCAGATTGTGATCTCAGGGTCATGGGATCAAGCCCCATGTTGGGCTCCATACTCCGCGCAGAGTCTGCTTGGGATTCTCTCTCTAAAATAGGTAAATGAAATCTTAAAAAATAAAAAAAAGCATAAAAAGATTTTAAAAATTTGTTTCAGATGAAATACTTTCTATTAAGCTACAAGTTCACGGACTGTCATTTTTGTTAAACTCAGTGAATTTTTAATTTCAGGTATTATATTTCCAGGTCTAAAATTTTCATCTCATTCCTTTTTAGTTTCTATTTCTCTGTTGAGATTTCCTATTTGTTGACACATTACCACTTTATTTTGCTTTACATTCTTGAGCATAGTTATAATAGCTGCTTTAAGTCTTCTCTGCCAAGCCCAAACTCTGGGTCATTTTGGAGTCAATCTCCATTAATTAGGGTGATAGTTTCCTGTTTCATTTTGGACAATATCCTAGACATTGTGATTACTGTGGTAAAGACTCTAGATTCTGTAATATTCTTTCAAAAAGTACTGATGTTTTTGCTTTGTTGTTACAATTAACTTGGCTGGACTTAAACTCCAAATTCTGCCTCCCTCTTGGTTCAGTTTTTTTAGTTGTTGGTGTGCTGTATAGAGGTTTGACATATGTGTAAGTTTAGGGGGTTGACAAGAGATTCAAGCTGAATTATACACAATATTTGGGGTCCCCAGAATCCTTTCTAGGATTTTCCTTTTCTTTCCAGCTATGTGGTCACTCTGCACTCTGTCCTCTTTTCTTCAAGCAAGTAAGATTACAGGTTATTAACCTAAGTTTGGCCGGCTCCTCCTGTCACCAATTGGAGCCTTCTCTCAGGATAAAAGCCATAAAAATGGAAACTCATCCACTTCTGTTCCCTTCTACCAAGTATAGACTTCATTCCAGTTTCTGCCTGATTTCTGTCACTTTTAAATGCCATCTGATAGCTTCTAAAGCTTTTTTTCAAGTTACAGATTTGACCCTTGAACCACATCAGTTTGAACTGCATGGGCCCACTTATATGCAGATTTTTTTGGATAAACACAGTACAGTACTGTACATGTATTTTCTCTTCCTTATGATTTTTTCTTTTTTTTTTTTTAAATAAGCTCTAGGCCCAACATGGGGCTTGAACTCACAACCCAGAGATCAAGAGTTGCACACTCTACAGAGCCAGCCAGGTGCCCCTTACGATTTTCTTAATAACATTTTCTTTTCTTTTCTCTAGCTTATTGTAAGAATACAGTATATAATACATGTAACATACAAAATATGTTAATTGACTGTTTATGCTATCAGTAAGGCTTGCAGTCAATAGTAGGCTATTATTAGTTAAGCGTGGGAGGCTGGGGGGGCAGGTGTTAAGTTAAATGCAGATATTTGACTGTGCAGGGAGGTTGATGCCCCTAATTCCCACGCTGTTTAAGGGTCAATGTAGTTTCTAGTTCAGAATTGTCCCAAGAGGAACTACTCAGCCATTATTACCCTTTATCAGTTCTAAAAAATTCTGGCCTCGGGGCGCCTGGGTGGCTCAGTCATTAAGCATCTGCCTTCGGCTCGGGTCATGGTCCCAGGGTCCTGGGATCGAGCCCCACCATCGGGCTCCCTGCTCAGCGGGAGGCCTGCTTCTCCCTCTCCCACTCCCCCTGCTTGTGTTCCCTCTCTCGGTGTGTTTCTCTCCGCCAAATAAATAAATAAAATCTTAAAAAAAAAAAAAAAGTTCTGGCCTCAAGATCCACTTACACTCTTAAGAGGAGCATTAGGGACTACAAAGAGCTGTTGCTTATGTGGGTTGTATTTATCAATATTTACCATATAAAAAATTAAAAGTGAGGGGGCGCCTGGGTGGCTCAGTTGGTTGAGCGACTGCCTTCGGCTCAGGTCATGGTCCTGGAGTTCCGGGATCGAGTCCCACGTCAGGCTCCCTGCTCAGCAGGGAGTCTGCCTCTCTCTCTGACCCTCCCCCCCTCTCATGCTCTCTCTCATTCTCTCTCTCAAATAAATAAATAAAATCTTAAAAAAAAAAATTAACAGTGAGACATTTAAAATTTTTAATTCATTTAAAATAACAATAAACCCATTATATATTAACATAAATTTTTTTTCTAAAAAATAACTACATATATTTTGTAAGTGGGAAGGGTAGCATCGTTTTATATTTTACAGTATTCTTTAATACCTGACTTTAAAAAGTACAGCTGGGTTCTTTGCTTCTGTGCTCAATGTGTTGCCACAAGCTGTTTTGATTCAAGTAGATTAAGAGATCTTGCCCTTGCAAAAGCAAGATCCTTGTAGATCCTGAAAAGGTTTCAGGAACCTCTGGGGGGTCCCTGAGCCATACCATACTTTGAGAATCTCTGCCCCGTGCTATCTTTTTTTAATCCTATGAGGTAACAGAGCAGGTACAATACTAGTTCCATTTTATGGTTGAGGAACCATAGGCTTAGAGAAGGTGGGGGAGGTACCCAAAGTCAGACGACTAGCCATTAAATGGTGCTGGTAGTACTTCAAGTCTGACTTTTAACTCATCCCCTTTCTTCAAAACCCCCATCTGAAACTTTTAACATACATACTAATGGCACATTTTGCAAATATATTGAATTGAATAAAGGGAAAATTTTTCCAAGTTTATAAAATGAAACGAATTCAGAAATGCTTAAAAGAAAAAAACACCACAACTTAGATACATAATAGGTTCACTCAAACTTCTTTGTATAGTAATAGACCTTTGACATTTTAAGGCAACACAACCAGATTTTATCTGTCAATAGAGCCAATCCAACACAAAGTTATTAAAAACATTTTCTAATACAGCCTACTTTGTAAACTTATTAGCTAGGTTTTTCATATAGCCTTTGCTCATCCTTTCTTTTACCATCAATATTAGTTTATCTAGTATGTGGAATAGCTAAAGCTTCCTATGCATACAGAAAGATCTTAGAAGTTTTATTTAAGAATTTTGGGTGGAGGGGCACATGGGTGGCTCAGTTGGTTAAGCATCTGCCCTCGGCTCAGGTCATGATCCTGGGGTCCTGGGATGGAGCCCCACCTCTGGCTCCCTGCTCAGTGGGGAGCCTGCTTCTCCCTCTCCCTCCTGCTCGTGCTCTCTCTCTTGCTCTAATAAATAAATAACATCTTAAAAAAGGAAAGAAAAGAATTTTGGGTGGAAATTTTAAGATGTGAGAGAAGTTGCAAAAAAATAATTTATCATTTTATTACATTTACAAATACGAGAGCCCAAATGAAAGAGTGCTTCATCTTAAGATGCTGTATCTATTATCAAAGTGGTATTTATACTGTAATAATAGAATTAGTATTGATATTTGAGAGACTACAAAACCTTGTTTACTAACTAAATTGTAGTAACTCTGGATTAGCTCAAACTAAGTAGCCTAGAACAGTTTTATACCAGTATCCATTTTTGTTTAATTCAAAGTTAACTTGAAATTTAACATCTTTTGATTTTTACTTATTTAAAAAAATCTTTTGTATTAGTTAGACTGGACTCTCAGATCTATGGTAGCCAGATGATATCCTGGAATATACAGCTTTTCATTCTCTCGGGCTGTAGAATCTTTAATAAAAACGGGACAAAAGGAGTAGGACATCTGTTCCTGTAGAAAATAAACAGTCTTAGATATTTTCTCTGTGGTTCCTACCACTGTGACTTTATTATTAAATTATCATAAGACAAGGAGACAGAAAAGTTGGCAGAGGAATATGTACAGCTTTTTTGAAATACTTACTCATGGCTATAAATACAAAGGTAAAAGCAGAAATATTCAAAGTGCCACGTGATAACAGACTTTATACAATGATTTTAACTTTTTAATGGTACTTTCACATGATGATTATGGAGGGATAACATTTTATAACCTAGAGAAAGAATGTTCGCAGAGATCATTTTATCATGAAATAGTAGCTCTTACCACTGTACTGTGAAACTTTCAATGTAGAGTTGTAGTGATGCCTGCGTCCTACTCTAGACCAAGCCAAACAGAATTGCTGAGAGTGAGTCTCAGATCCTTTTTTAAAAAGCTCTTGTTCTAATATGATGCCTCAGTCAAGAACCACTGTGTTAGAAGGGAGCCAAGGAAACCGAAGAGAATATTTCACACTGTAAAATTACAGAGAAAAAGAAGCAATTTTACAAGAAGTGCTCAAAATGTGGGAATTATACCAATTACATTAAATGAACAAAAATCAACTATTATAATTCTAATTGTAACTTTAAACAAAAAAATTAACCAGATTCTAAGAAACAAAAGTGCTCTCAAACTAGTAAATTGGACACTGGGGGCAGAGGAGGAACATACTATTTTCAGACTTCTTCTAAAAAAGTATTTAGGAAAAAGAGGTATTTACTCTCATACACCATTATGCCTATTTTCATAACATCTGAAGATGATATGGAAATCGCAAATCTGAAAATATTGAGATAAATGTGCAGTAATTCTAGACATCTGCTTACAATAATCACTGAAAATATTAGAGAAGAGGGTAAGAAGTAGACGTGGTAGATGACACAGGAAGAGCAGTTATGCTCTAGAAACCTTTAACGGAACAGGGAAACGTTAGTTTGGGGCCTGCCTGTTGCCAGACACAGCCAGCCTACTGTATCTCTAACCATCTAACCAACATGTGGGATGCCTGATAAAGCCACAGCACCAGGCAAACAAGAGTGCTAACACGGTAAGTGCAAACTGCTAGTGAACCTTAAAAAAATCAGAACCCTGTGAAGGAAAATAAACAATTCTTCTTAGTCCACTAAAAAAAAAAAAAAAAAAAGACTGCATTTCTGAAAGAAAAAAATAAGGTACTCAAAGGACAGTAGGAAGCTGGATAACGACAATGCTAGTATAGACCTAGAATACAGTACAAACAAGAATAATTATAATTTCTGAATATAGGTGAACCAATACTTCCTTTGCCACAGAATGCTCCACAAACACGTTATCCAGATGGGTTAATGAAGCCCTTTGCTTAAAGTGCCTAGAGTTTTTCACAAGGAACAAAATGTCATGGTATGATTGATATGTATAGGGAAGAAATGATTTAGAAAAATTTCAAAAATAACTAACAATAATATAAACACTTTTTCTTCAGTTAAGATTAAAAAAAAGAAAAGAAAAAAATTCCCGCAAGCAAAGGGAAAGCAGATGTGTGAATAAATTCAATTACTAATCCTGAAACTGATGTTTATTTCAAATACTTTCCTCTTCCTCTACTCTCCCTAAGCAAGTTCAAGCAGCAATATCTTTCCTATCCTAGAGGGAATAATTCTGTTCTAGTTAAAATAGCTACTGTTATAATGAGTAAATACTACACGCAAGGCCTTGTGCTAAGTGCTCTATGTACATTCGTTTAGTCCTCACCTTGACTATGTGCTATTTTTTTTTTTTAAGATTTATTTATTTATTTCTTTGACAGAGAGAGACACAGCAAGAGAGGGAACACAAGCAGGGGGAGTGGGAGAGGGAGAAGCAGGCTCCCCGCGGAGCAGGGAGCCCGATACAGGACTCGATCCCAGGATCCTGGGATCATGACCTGAGCTGAAGGCAGTCGCTTAACCAACTGAGCCACCCAGGCGCCCGACTATGTGCTATTTTTATTTCTATTCTACAGATGAGGAAAAACGTGGGCTTAGAACACACAGCTAGCAGACAGTATAAAGTGGGGATCAAAAGCTAGGTCCGACTCCATAACCTGGGCTGTTACTATAAATTGGAGTAGTATTTTTCTTAGCATTCTTCTCTCGAAAGATTGAAGTTCACATGCAATTGGAATAAATAAGCAGAAAGGGGGCACAGGAAGTGGTGTACAAATACTTTATAATTTATCAAGATAAGAGCACCTGCACTCCTTTTTTAAGACAAGAAGAAAACCCTGCAAAAATATAAAACCCCCAACTCTGTTCTGGCCCTATTATTACAAAAAAGGACAAGTTTTTCTTTAACAAGATGGTCAAGCACCACCTACGGGCCACAGTAAATAAATCACTTTGGTTCAGTGGTGGGGAGGGCATTATGCAACACTTCCCAGCACTGCCCTGCCAGGATATTTTACGGCCAAGACTCTTGGGCCCCTCCTCCCCAGCTAGACAGCCTGGCTCCTGCGCATTCCCCTCAGGAGATAGGGTGGAAGCACACAGCTCCATTTTCTAAGGCAAAGAGGGCAGCTGAAAGTCCTGCTCAGCCTCTCTGGGCAACCACAGGCGCCAATAAATCAGCCACAGGCGATTCTCTCATCCCTTTCCTGGCTTGAAGTGGTAGCAAGATACAATGCAAAAGATCACTGACTGGACTTGGGAGATAAGTGATCTAGCCTTGAATTCTACGGCAAGTGACAGCATCACAGAAGTCAGGTAAATCTCTGGCTGTTGTTTGTTAACATAGAAACAGTACTACTTCCTTTTTTGTCAAGTACTCAAAATTCATCTATGAAAGTGGCTAGCCACTGCAGGTGCTCAATAAACAGCCAACAACCCCAGCAGAATAAGACATTAAGGGAAGGGTTGGGCAAAAAGGTATATATAGCAAGTCATCTGAGGCCCCTCCCTGCTTTGTTGCTGACCATCCCTTTGATGTTCCACTCTTTCCTGATAACCTTCCAGCCATCAGAACGAATCTATTCCGAGTGCTATCCCAGGATCCTGCTCCCTATTAAGAAACTGATTTCTGATACTGGATAGTTAGTTTACCCTTAATCAAAACACATCTAGGTTCCTAAAGACAACTTTGATGCCTTAACCTAAGGAAGCAACCAGTGCGGCAAATGTTGGTTATTCTTACAGAGAATAGGGCTGAATTTTGGAGGAGTCAGGCTTTGAGCCCCAAAAGACATCATAGGCAGTCTCTTCCACCTAAAGATAATGCCAACCCCATTCCTTAAAATACCTGAGCCATCACACAACAGCCAAGCCTTGTTTCTCAATAATCTGAGTCAAGCCAAGTATAATCACCTCTGGCAGACCGTCTCTACAGTGAGTGGGTTAAACTGGCACTGCTCTCCTGGTGTGGTGGAGACCCCAATAACCAAGGCCTGGAGCCCTGGAGTCCAGTTACTCAAAAAGTGTAGGGCTTCGATCAAGCTACACGTTCGTTAGGCCGGGTGTCTTCATCTGTAAAACAGAGGGATGAACTAGATTTCCTGTAAGGCCCCTTTCAGCTTTAAAGTCTGTCATCCTAAAGTGTACTTTACACACTTGACAAAATCCTGTGAGAATCAACAGTTTTGCCAAAAAACTTGAGTCTCAAGAGAATGAGTGCCAAATGTAATTTCCTGGGGGGAAATGGGCGTTACTTTATGAAACATGTTAGCTGCTGTCAAATTCCAAGTACAGCGCTAGGTGCTGCCTAAGTAGCTTGATTTCTCAAAATAACAAGTGATAGGGAAGCAGTTAACGATCGGGCAAACTTTAAAAAGAAAAACTGGATTTACTCAGAATGAGATTAATATAATCTGAAAAAAGGAAGAAATGAATTATGGAGGGGGAGGAACTTCCTGCCCCAGAAACGGGGTAATCACAAACGGGGGTGGGGAAGGGAGAGGACAGTGGCCGCAGCGTCTCTCAATTTGCACCAGGAGACCCGCCCACTTGCGAGAAGGGTTCGCGCGGCCGCCCGGGGAACGCCGCGGGCCCGTCGGGGGTTCCCGCGCGGGGTCAGGCCCCGGCAGCCGCCTTCTGCGGGCGGCGAAAGGCGGCTCTGGGCATCCTCGGCCCAGTGCTCACTCGCGGGTGCCATTTTCCTCCAGTGCCCTGATTGACATGTCAAACGGACCAAAACACCCCTCTCCCCATCTACTTGCATCTGTCCCGCGACCGGCGCAGCTGCAGGCCGCCGCCCCGGGCGGCTCGCGGCGGGAGGGACTGAGCCCGGAGCAGCCCACAGGGGCCGGGCCGCGTCGCTTACCCAGACGCCGCCGCGGCGGCCAGCCGGCTCCTCCGTGCGGGAGGGGCGGCTCCCGCGCCGCGCACGTCACGCGGCGGCGCCGGTCACGCACCCTGCGGCCCGCTCTCGCGCGGCTTCCCGCGCCGGCCGCCCCGCGATGGGCCCACGTGACCGCGCGCCTGGTAGCCGGGGAGCGAGGGGCGCGGGGGCTGAAGTGTGCGTGCGTGCGTGCGTACGTGCGCGCCCGCCCGCCTACTCAAGTGGCCAGGCGGGGTTCGGCCCGCGCTCGGGGTACCTCCGCCACGGTCTTCAGTCGTGACTCTTGTAGGCGGAAGCGTGGAGACGAGCCTGAGCGTCACAGGCTTCCCACACACAACCGCGTGACCCGGGGACTTTCCCCAGGGTGTGCAAAAGCACAGCACTGCCTCACCTCGGGGGTGGGGGTGGGGGAAGGATGCGCCCGCGTGTTCGCGGGGAGAGGGGTGGGGGCGCTGGGCCAAGGAGGCTGAGCCGCTGGAGCCTGGGAGGGGAGGCGGGCTGGGTGGGGTGGGGCATGGCGGGGGAAGTGACTCAAGGCCAGAGGCGGACAGGCCCATGGCAGGCAGAGTGGGGGGGAGCGCGGGGAATGGGCGACCCCGGACCGACTGGCGGCGCACGGGACAGGGCGAGGGTGCCGGTGCCCCCAGAACGCGGGGGACGAACCGAGAGGGAAGGCCTAGCTGCTGAGCCCTCCGGGGCAGGGGTCTGACATCTGGACGGAGTGGGAAAACAGCATCCTGCCCTTGGGGAGTCGGGAGGAGCCCAGTCCCATCCAGCTGTGCAAACAGGAGGAGGAGGAGGTCCCAAGCCTACCCTTGGGAGAGGGGCGAGAGGGGTGGTAAAGCCGCCGCCGCGCCGGCCCCCGCGGTGCGGGTTGCGCCAGCCTCCCCGGAGCCCGACGCAGAAACTTGTTGCAAACAAACAGGCGACCGCGGGTGCCCCTAGCAGCCAGCGGCGGAGTGGGTGGGCGGGCGAGAGGGAGGGGAAGGCTGGCGGACGCCGCAGCGAACTGGTGGGCAGACCCGGAGTCGCCGCGTAAGCGGGGCCGGCTCAGTGCGGTGCGGCAGGCGCGGCTGTGCGGCAGCGGAAGTCCTTTGTTGCAGCACAGTCCCTGGCAGAGCCAGAGCCTCTCCGCGCAGCCCAGCCCGAACACCGCGCGCCGCCGCCACTGCAGCTCGCGGCCCCTTCGCCTCCGCCCGCCTTTCCCGTGGGTGATTTGCCTTAAACTCCCTAAAACCTCCGCAGCCCCGGTTCCTGCTGCGGCCGGTGAGTATCTGCCAGTTGTGGGGCTATTTGCGCAACTTTGGCCCGGGCGGGAGGACGCGGGCCGCGGGCCTGGCGGAGTGCGGGGCCGGAGCGGTGCCGACCTGTGCGGGGATCCAGAGCGCGGAGGACGCGCCGCGAGGAGCCGGCGACGGGCGGCTGCCGGGCCGCCTGCTCGATCCCGCCGTTCGCCGGCGCGCCTGGTCCGGGACGTGCGGCCTCCCTAGGTCGGAGGCGAAGCCCCCGTGGAGACTAGTTCCCAAATTAGTTACCTTCTTTTACCTTTCTTTCTCAGTCTTTATTTTTTTGGGGGGGGGGGGAGGGGAGGTGTAGACGGGAGGCGGGAGGACTCGGTTGATTGACGTGCCTAGAGCCCGCTTCTCTCAACTTACAGCTGCGGCTCCTCGGCGGGTGGGAGGGGAAGTGTCCCGGAGCCCGAGGCCGCAGACTTGGGCGCGCTCCGAGGGAGGAGGCGTAAGAGCCGTGCAAATTCTTGCCACGCTCTTTTTCACCCCCTCTTGCCGGCACACATGCTTTTTGTTCAGTAAAAAGTAGTGGGTCTCGGGTTTGGGAATTTTCGGTGGAAAAGATGTTTCCTGGGAAGAACGTGCTTTCGAGTCCAATGGTGGGCGTTTGCTAGAAGTTCTGTTAGTGTTCGGCAAATGTGTTGGGTGTAGATCGGGAGTCGTTACCACTAAAATATGTAGGCTTGGGTCTGAGCTCAGCCACCCTCCCAGTCTTAGGTAAACTAAGCAACGAACGCGTCTGGAAGATCTGAAAGGTTGACATGACCTTTTCCAAATTGGGAGCGTCGGGGAGAGGTCCATGAAAGTCCTTGATGTTTTCTGGGGACAGGTATTTGTATGTGTGTAATAATAACGACTCCAGTCGAGCTTAAACGTGGTAGGTACGCGCAGATTCTCCACTGGCCTGAGTGTATTTCCATACGGTATGTCTCACAGTCTCAGGGCAGGAAAACTTAACAGGAACGATTTTCTCAAACCCAAGGAGTGGTTCCAGCCTTTTTGAGGCGACTTAGAATCAGTTTCATGATTTGAAGTTCAAGGCACTTTGGAGCAGAAATGGTGAAGGATGCAGTTCTCATGTTAACCTCAAAGCAATCACTATCTTCTCCTTTGAAACGAAGAAATTCGATTCTATGAAATTTTGTCAGTGCAAATGGATATGATGGGGAGAATTGGGATACAAAAAAATGAAGCTTGAATGATGGCTGGCCATCACAACCTCAAAACTTTTGATTCACTTGCTGGCTTTCTAATAAAGTCTCAATAACTGAATGGCTTTGGGAGCTAGTTGGGGGCTTCCTCATCTTAGAGAAAATTGGAACGTAGTGGACATGAAACTATTTTCAAAGATCAATAAAGACAGTCTGCAGTAGAGTCTTTAATTAACATCTTACATTCATTTTAAGAGATTTCTCCATTACGACCAAATTTTCAGTGTAGAATAACTCAGGTTGAGTGACCTTTCCTGAAGCCTTTCTATTCTTCCCATTCCAATGGGATGCCCTACTTTGGGGGAGTAGTGGGGGAGCCCTGGTGCATCATTGTCAGAAAAAAAGAAACCATATTTAACCAGGACTTTAGCAGGGCATGAGCACAGTCTCAGCCACTTGCTCTTGACCTTGTGTTTTGATTTCACATTAACAGTGCTAAATTTTTGTACTGTTTCTTTATTCTCTTTTGCCAGGCTCTGGAGAAGATAAGTTCATAGAGCTTTTTAAGAGTGTCTCTGTGTTCCTTGGAGCACCATTTCCTATCCTAATGTGCAGGAGAAAAGAAGTGCCTGCTTTCAGGCCTCTCCTCCTCTAGCCAGGAAAGTGCTAAGCCTTTGCTATTAACCTCTGGCCCAAAGGGGAAATAACCATTTGGGATATAAAGGCAGAAAAGTTTCCGTAGATTTTTATTTTTAAGCTGTAATCTGTTGTCTTCCAAAAAAAATTGAGTTGTATTTGAAAAACACCTGCTTGAGAGGTCACTTCGGTCTCTATAGGATGTTTTCTCTTGATATTTTTTTTCTTGTGCTAGTATATTTTACCCTGAAATATTGACATTGTTATTCTTATATGCTTTTATGCGAACCAAATTAAAAGTGATTCATGTATATTCTTTTTTTTCTCAAAATGGAAATACTTATAAAACCCATGCTCTATGTAAAAATTCAACCTATACTAGAGTACATAAAATATAAAAATGAAAATCATTCTGATTGCCACTTCCCAGAGATAACTGTTAGTAGTCCATACCTTGTTTAAAACAAGAAGAGGCAACATTTGATCATAACTGTGCTGTTGTATATGCCTCACCCTGCCTAAGGATGGTGTGTGATGATTCATGGCCTTATGTTCTCTATTCCCTATTCAGGTTGGTGAGAATTGACTAGGTGGAGAAAAGGAATGTTTTGCATTGGACTGGTTTAAAATTCTATGATCAAGTAACAGACGTGAGCGTTTAAATATAACAGGATTGCTATTTTAAGTTTGTCCTATGAAGTATTTACCTCGGGGGTCTAGTTCTCACACTTTTTCGGGCTAACGATGATGTCCAGCCTCTGATGGGTTGATTTATACTGGCCAAACTGATTTAAAAAACCCAGAAGCTTCATATTTGTAGAGAGTTTCATAATTCCATAGTTGGGAGGCAAGGAGTGGCTATATTTGCCATGAAGATATCCCTGTGCTGATATTCCTGTGCTGATATGGGTGTGAAGGCTTCCCCTTGATCAGTATCTAGAGGTAGCAGCATGCCAAATGTCAAAGAAAGAGAATTCGAATGAAGAAGGGAATTAATGACTGTGCAGTTTTTAGATGTGGCATGGGAGGAGACAGCACATATTTCAGATAGATTTCTAACTATACTTACATTGTGGCTTGTATGGTAACTACAAGAGATCTTAGTCAAAGTACAGAATCATTTATTACTTAGCCTGGCAAGTAAGAAGAATGAGTGTGAAGTGGTTGATGATATTCTGAAAACAAAGCCCCAAAATAGTACATAGAAGTTTAATCACAGCATTATTTGATGTTCGGGACATGAGTTTTTTTACACTACTCTTGCATTGAGTTTAAAATCGTTTTCCAAATAATATTGGAAAATTAAAGAATTAAATCACCAACCAGATTTTTCATTTGTTATCTTTGTGAGGTACACATAATCCTTTTTTCAAGATAACTAAAGAGTTCCATCTCCACTTTACATCTTACAGTATTAGGGAAAGGCTTGTTCTGATAGGCGGTGGGAGTCAGCAGATGGAAGAGGAGATGGGGCGGGGGCAGGGCATTCCGCATGCAGTATGGGGCTGTGTGAGAGTGGGTGACTGGGAGGCTCAGGACGTTCCAAAGCAGCATTTCAGTTAATAGTCATTGCCAGGAAGAGTGTTGTCTGGCTTATAAAAGCTGAAACTCAGGGTTCTGAATCAAGACTCCAGAGTTCGAGTCCCATCTTCTACTTAGAAGATGAGCACTTCAGTATCAACCACTAAACTTATTCACAAAATGAGGATAATGAAAATACCTGTCTCAGGGTTGTTGTGAGAATCAGTTGTTTAATGTATGGGAAATTGCTTTGTAAATTTTTGACCACTATGTAAAAGTTGCCATGATTGAAATAATGCAAAAAATTGAGTGCCTGGCAGGCTCATTCGGTGGAGCATGTGACTCTTGATCTCAGGGTCATGACTTTGAGCCCCTTGGTAGGTTGTAGAGATTACAAGGAAGGAAGGAAGGAATTGATAAGCAAAATAAAACACCTATTTCAACATTTATTCTTTCAAAATTGATCAAATATCAACTAAATGCCAAGCAGTTGTTAAAGGTTCTGGGGGATACAGTGATGACTAAGACAATGCCTTGATCTCAAGGAGCTTCCAGCAAAGCAAGGGAGCCACATAATTATAATCCCTGCCAAGAGTGTGGTGATAGACACAACACTCAGTTTGGATGATACATTTTTTTGTCATCATATAGTTGTAGGTGGGGTCTGTTTTGGAAGCACAGAAGAGGGGCATCTGCATTATCCTGGGATCAGGAAAAAAAAAAAAAAAAAAACTTTCCAAAGAGAGTGAGCTGGACATCGAAAAGGTTCTAAGCAAAGGGAATAGCATAGCATATATGAAAGCATGAAGGCTTTTGCTGTGGTAGGTCCTGGGTATGAAGGGGAATCTTAAAATAGATTGAAGGCTTAAAAAATGAAGTTAAGCTTCTTAGAATGAACACACTTTTTTATGATACTCTTTTTATTGGATTCAGTTTGTTGACTTTTAATTAGATAAGAGTGAAATTTCCAGGGTTTTGGTTGGAATTAAATAAGAAAAAGGTGGCTGTGATTGGAAAAATTGGAGACAATACAAATTAAAAAGATGTGTGTATCTGCTGAGGGAAGGAGCCTGGGTAGCACTTCCCATTGTCTTAGAGCTGCCTCACCAGCTGCTCCTTCAGGAGCATTGACTGAATACTTACTATATTGCACAGAAACAAGCTAACAGCCTTGCCTTCAGTTGGTCATAATCTGGTGGGGAGACCTATGGACAGACACATAGATAACTGTGGTAGCCAATTTTTATTTAGCATTTACTCCTTGACAGCTACTGCCTGTGATAACTCTAAACACTAGGAAGGATTATCATCCCCATTCTCAGTTGAGAGAATTGAGGCACAAATTGCTTATGCAACCTGCTCAAGGTCACACACCTAATACGTGGCAAAGCCAGAATTTGAACCCAGGCAATCTGGTTAGTCTGTGCTTTAACACCTACCTTATGTTACTGTTCTGATGATTAAAATATAGCGTAATAAGTGCAAAATAAAGAGATGATAAAGAGTAATATCAAAACCTAAAATAGTGGGAGAGGGAGGTATTACAGAAGGTTTTCTGGAGGAGGTGATAAACCGATTCTTAGATATGTGGGAGGTTCAGGCAGAAGAACCAATCGGGAATGAATAAAAATAGAGGTAAGAAATACATTAAGTATTTCTTGGGGTGGGG